TTTTCTTTCTGTTTCTCTTTCTCTTTCTGTTTCTCTTCTCTTTCTCTTTCTCTTTCTCTTTCTCTTTCTCTGTCTCTCTCTCTCCTCTCTCTCTCTCTCTTTCTCTCTCTCCCTCTCTCTCTTTCTCGCTCTTTCTGTTTCTCTTTCTGTTTCTATTTCTGTTTTTCTTTCTATGTCTCTTTCTGTTTCTCTTTCTGTTTCCATTTCTGTTTCTCTATCTCTTTCTCTCTCTCTCTCTGTCTTGCTCGCCCTCTGTCACGGTCTCTCTCCTTCGTTTTATTTTCTCTCCTAAGGCCGCAAACAGGGCTGACATGACAACCCTTTTGCACCAAATGAGGTTTGAGTGGAAAAACTGAAGTAAAATTGCGATTTAACGATTTCCGCTTAACGATTTCCGCGGCAACCCTTTGGCACGAAACGAGGTTTGAGTTTTCAAAAATTGAGGTAAAATTGCGATCTAACAACTTCGGCCGCAACCATTTCGCACAAAACAAGGCTCGAGTGTCACAAAGTGAGGTAGAATTGCTATTTAACAACTTCCGCGGTAACTTTTTCGCACGAAACGAGGTTCGAGTGTCAAAAATGGAGGGTTTTTTTGCGGGTTTGGCGGCGGCAACTCTTTCACACGAAATGAAGGTCGAGTGTCGCAAACTGAGGAAAAAATTGCGATTAACAACTGCCCGTGCAACCCTTTCGCGCGAAACCAAGTTGGAGTGTCAAAACTAAGGGTTTTTTGTGAGTTTGGATAGTCCGGCGGCAACCCTTTTGCGCGAAGCGAGGTTTGAGTGTAGAAGTCGTTTTGTGCGAAAGGGTTTGTGTGTAAAAGTGTTTGTGTGTAAAAGGATTGTGTGTAAAGTATTTGTGTGTAAAAGAGGTTGTGGTTGTGTGTAAAAACGTGTGCGTGCAAACGTCTTTGTAGAAGCCTTGGTGTGTAAAAACGTTTGTGTTTAGACGTGTTTCTGTGTAAAAACGTTTGTGTGTAAACATTCTTGTGTGTAAAAGCGTTTGTGTGTAAAAGTGTTTGCGTGCGAGAGGGTCTGTGTGTAGTGTGTAAAAGCGTCTGCGTGCAAGAGTGTTTCTGTGTAAAAGGGTTGTGTGTAAAAAGTGTTTGTGTGTAAAAAATGGGTGTAAAAGGGTTTGCGTGTAAACGTGTTTGTGTATAAAAGTGCTTGTGTGTAAATGAATCTTTGTGTCAAAGCGTTTGTGTAAAAGCGTGTGGGTGTCAACGTGTTTGCGTGTAACAGTTTTTGTGCGCAAAAACGATTGTGTAAAAGTGTTAGTGCGGTAAAGGGCATGTTTGTATGTATGATTATGAGATCTATTATGAGCATGTTTGTATGTAAAAAAACGTTTGTCTCAATTCTTCTTCCTGTGCCTCCTTCGTTTCATTTTTTCTTTCTCCTTCAATTTCTTCATATGTACCTCCTGTTTAGAACATGTCTGCACCATGTCTCCTCATTTTACGCATCATCGTATGCTTCTATATTTATGTTTCATGCGATTAGATCTTCATACTTGTACCTCTCACTATGCTCCTCTACGCTCTCGGGCCATCCGCCGCCTAGTAGACATCACAAAATTTTACGATCGGGGGCTAAAAGGATGCTCAAAGCAACCCACCACCAGGTGAAAGATGCCTTGAAGGCCTTGGATATAGATCAATATATCAATCAGGCATACGGGGGTGAAATACCTGGGGTTATTTCGTCCACCGCATCGAAGACATTTTCTCAGCGCTCTTTGAGAAGCCCGTGGCCTTCGACTTAGGCTGGCATCTCAAAAGCCAGAGGGCCTGGACGACGACAAGTCCAAATTGGCGACTGCATGCATCGGGCATACATGCATACCATTTTACGAGGGACGACTGAGGCTGGGGAGGGTGGTGTGGGGATGTTGGAATTGCGTTTCCGTGGGTATTGAGGTTCATAGCAATGTAAGTTCTGTCAAGGCTACAACCTTTTGAATCACCTCATCAGGAAGGAGCTTGGACTGATCAGGACCGAGCTGTCCTGGACAAGGTTTTTTTTCCCACAAGGCGCGTGAAGGAATTAGAAATTTGGATCTTCCAGCACAGGCCAGGGTCGGCAGAGGTGGAGCGCCTGCTCCAGATGAACCGGATGGATCCCCACATTGCGCCGAATCATGTTTCTGTTGCTGAACCTTTTTCGCTCCGAGAAGAGGCAATCTTGAAGCAGGTATTCTGATTCAGACGAAACTCAGCAAAGCAGGGGGCCAAGACGAACGCAAAGAAGAACAGGGAGAAGACAACGGCCAAAAAAACAGAGAAAGGTGAAGGGCAATGAGGAGGACAAGAAAGGGGAAGAACAAGAAACATTTGGGTTTGGGCCAGCGAGGGCTGGCTAAGCAGAGTTTGCACTGCCACGCCTGTTCATTTTGTTAATGAGGAGGTCACAGTGCAAGTCAGACAGTTGAGGTCATTTTTTTTGACCTGGTTGCGAAAGAACCTGGCCCATCAGACCATGCAGATGACCAGGGAGGATGCCAGAAGCCATGTTCTTGAAGAGCCGGTGGGTGACGGCATCCTCGAGAAAGAGCTGTGCGAATTTGTTCAAGCAGAAGACCCAGGATCGTATGATGACAAAATCAAACTGCCCAAAACTGAGGCAGATGTTTTTTTGGGAGGGGGGGGCCCGTGGTGATCAAGGCCATGAGGGAAGAATTTGGAAAATATTCCGAACGGATTCTGAGCAAGGATTTCTGCGAGATGAACAATTTCTCTTCCTGTACAACCACAGCCAGTGGGTCGCTGCATGGGCTCCACCTTCCATGGCCCTTATGCAGCAAGGCCATGGCTGCACACGTGGCTTTTCACAACTGAGGTAAAATTGCGATTTTGAAGTATCCATCGCAACCCTTTCTCACGAAATGGACGTTCGACGTCAAAATATTGAGGTAAAATTGCGACTTTAGGGTGTCGCGGGCAACCCTTTCGCACGAAATGGACGTTGGACGTCAAAAACTGGAGAAAAATTGCGATTTTACTTTGTCTATCGCAACCCTTTCGCACGAAATGGACGTTGGACGTCAAAAACTGAAGTAAAATTGCGATTTTGAAGTATCCATCGCAACCCTTTCGCACGAAGTGGACGTTGGACGTCAAAAACTGAGGAAAAATTCCGATTTTGAGGTGTCACGGGCAACCCTTTCGCACGAAATGGACGTTGGACGTCAAAAATTGAAGAAAAATTGCGATTTTACTTTGTCTATCGCAACCCTTTCGCACGAAATGGACGTTGGACGTCAAAAACTGGAGAAAAATTGCGATTTTACTTTGTCTATCGCAACCCTTTCGCACGAAATGGACGTTGGACGTCAAAAACTGAGGTAAAATTGCGATTTTGAAGTATCCATCGCAACCCTTTCGCACGAAGTGGACGTTGGACGTCAAAAACTGTAGTAAAATTGCGATTTTGAGGTGTCACGGGCAACCCTTTCGCACGAAATGGACGTTGGGCGTCAAAAACTGAGGAAAAATTGCGATTTTACTTTGTCCATCGCGACCCTTTCGCACGAAATGGACGTTGAACGTCAAAAAGTGAAGTAAAATTGCGATTTCACGGGTCCGGTCTCGTGTGTAAAAGGGTCTGTGTGTAAAAGGGTCTGTATGTAAAAGCGTCTGCGTGCAAAAGCGTCTGTGTGTAAAGCGTCTGTGTGTAAAAGCCTCTGTGTGTAAAGGAGTCTGTGTGTAAAAGCTTCTGTGTTTAAAAGCTTCTGTGTGTAAAAGTGTCTGTGTGTAAAATGGTCTGTGTGTAAAAGCCTCTGTGTGTAAAAGCTTCTGTGTGTAAAAGCTTCTGTGTTTAAAAACTTCTGTGTGTAAAAGCGTCTGTGTGTAAAATAGTCTGTGTGTAAAAGCTTCTGTGTGTAAAAGCCTCTATGTGTAAAAGTGTCTGTGTGTAAAAGCGTCTCTGTATAAAAGCGTCTCTGTATAAAAGCGTCGCGTTTCTTCACATCCACGGAATGATGGTGCCGAGCTTTTTCGGCAATGTGCGTAGGAATTACCATAGTAAAATGAGATAACACATGTCGTTCGCAGCATCATGGTACCGAGCCTCCTGTGCATTTTTGTTGCTCACATTATATTTCTCCATGTTTTCTTTCTACCCCCCTTTCCTTTTCTCTCTCTCTCTCTCTCTCCTCCCTCTTTCTCTCTGTGGTTGCAAGACACGTGTCATCTGATGCCCTTTACCAAGTATCCTCTTCTTAATCAATCTTACTTTTTCACACCATATCCTTCCATAGCTCATATAAAATTCACCAACTATTCACCGACTATCTTTTACGACTACCATCCTCAGAGCTGCTTGAAACATCTTTTTCGCTTTCGGGCCAACCGTCGTCTAGTTGGTTTCCAAAAATGACGCAGTATGCAGCAATTCTAGTCGCATTTTCACATTTTTGAACCGCATTTGTTTCAGCACGTCTTGTACCTTGGCCAACGTGAGCGGAACAACGTATATAATTTATTCCAACAAACATGGTTTCACCCAGCAATCACAGCAACCCCTGGGAAATGGCAGTTGGTGAGTCTAACACTTCTAGATATTCCAGCGTCGTGTGCGTCGTTGAACATACTGATGACATGCTCTGGTTGGTGGCTGGCTGGTCATATTTTTTTTGAGTTGTTCTAGTCCCCCAAACTGCATGTCGGCTTGTTGGGGGTAAGATGTAGCACATGGACTGGATGCTACGCTGACCTTCTTGAGATGTGAATGTGCCAATGCATTTCATAAGGCATAGTTGTCACGGAATAAGTCACGGACACAGTTGAACTTTGAAGGCAAACAATGTTTTATTGCGATGGAAATGCGTTCAATTCGCGTTTTAAAAATCAGTAATCGTTGGTCAAAAGATCGATGGTATGAAACCTAAAGGGTCAATTGGCCCATAGCCGAAGCGGCAACAACGCTCGGACTCAAACCCCTTTCTTTGATCCAATTTTTGTTGGGCACGTCATTTGCTCCGGATTGGCCAAGTTAGTTTCAAATTCCAGGACGTGGCTAGGAACAGAAACGCCATGGCATTGTGGCATCGGTGCTTGCAGTTTTCGTTTTTCTTGGCGGAAAGCTTTGCAGCCAACCATCCTTTGATCATCGTTCCAGGCTTGACAGGAAGCGGTCTGGAGGTCAAGGAACATGATGCGCCTATGCCTCATTCCTTTTGCAAGACGGGCACAAGAGGCAAGTGGATGAAGGTTTGGGTGAGCCCTGTGTTTCAGCTGCAAAATTTCGGGCTGGTACTTGAGGCCAGTTTGGAATTAATTTGTTCTGCATTTGCTTAAAGAGCAAGTCAGTTGAGCCTCATAAGTGCGACTGTGGAATGGCTTTTCATGCTCAAAGTCTAGTGAATGGATTGGCTCCCCCGAATTGTTGGCATAATATCCTCCGGGGTGTCAACTAATTGGTGGGGCATTTCCTGTCCGAGTCATTGCTTTGCCTCTGGACTTCCCTCTTTAGCCGGTGCCTTCATCTGTGGTCTCCTCCTCGGCTTCATCTTGGGTTGCTGTGCACTTGTTTGGACTTTTGGACTTTTGACTGTGCCTGCAACACCTGCTCAGCCCGTTGGACTTGGGGCTCCTGTACCTGACCGCGTGAAGGCTTACGCCTTGCATAAGCAGGGATCATCACTCGTCCGGAAACGACGACACTATCCTGCTGTGGCAATTCGGCTTGAGATCACGGTCAGAGGACCATCGACGAGGGCATTGGAGTTCGTCCAGCGTTTCTCACCAACTGACTCAGGGGCTTCAGACGCGGCATCATCTGGCGTCCATCGTCCTTCAGATCCTGAGCCTTTGCCTCCTTGTCCTGACAACCTTTTGGCTTTATCCACACGTTTGTCAGCAGCAAGTATCTTGTCCCCTCAAGAGCGAGTCAAGAGAGCTTGGATTTGCGGGTGCATTGCCGGGAGACAGCTTGACGGCCAGTCCTGCCCAGAGGTGGCTGCAATTTCCATTGATTTGCCCTCAAGCTACTTTGTGGTGCTCAGAGGTCACAACGTCACTGAGCCAAGGATTCTTAGAAGTGCCAGGGACTACAACCGCATCCTCGAGGGCAACGAGCTCCCAGGTGTGGGCCACTCTTGCAAATCGGAGACAGAGGCCAGGTGTACCTTGCTGGGCCCCGAGCGTAGCAGACATGGAGCCATTTCCAGATGTTGCAGAAGAGGAATCAGCAGTGCTTCCGCTGACTTCGGATTTCGGTCCTGCAGGCTTCCAGCCCTATGCGCTAGACCTGGTAGGCCTTGGTTTGGCTTCAGACGAAAGTCCACTGGTGCTTGCTTATGTCGTGATGACTAGAAGGGATGGCTTCCTTCTCTGCCTCCCAGAGCTTGCTTTGCCTTTGGAAGTTTTGCAAGGGGGAAACGAAGCTGCCCCTCAAGACCTGGTTGGACCTTCTTTGAAAGTAGAAGTTCAGTGTGCGGTTTTGGACGAAGACGCCATTCTGCAGATGCCTTCGCCCTTGGAAGGAAAGACCAATGTCAGTGCTTTTGGTGGATTTTGCAAGTGCGGCCCTGGCCTGTTTGCAGGCTGTCAGAGACAAGCAGAAGTTGGAAGAGCTGGCTGCCTTCGACGTGCTCGACATATCACAGTGGTGCCGGACCCAGACGATGTTGTCACACGAGCCAATGCCTGGGCTCAAGGGCTAGGAGGAGATCAGCTGGAGCGTATCCAATACTACTCGGCCGACGAAGTTCCAGAAGCCCCACTGGCCCTCAAGCAAAGAGAGCCACAAGACGCAAGGTCCAGGAGCTGGTACTGGTGGAGGCACCGCCACAAGACGGCCTACAGTTGCGAGTCTTGCGGAGTCGATCGAGGCGCTGACACAAACTTTGCCGGCGATTTCAGAGAAGCTTCAGGAACTCACGCTCACACAAGAGGCGATGGAGGCGGGAGCTCTACGCCCCCCCGAACGTGCATCAGCCTTGCGAAAGCCATTGGGTTCCTCTCCTACGATTGGATTGCCTGGAGCCTCAATGGACCCTGCGGGACTTCTGAAACAGATGCCACCACCGAGAAGTACTACTTCCCCGGCGAAGACACCCAGGGTCTCTTTCTCCAAAGCGGAAGCAGCAGAGATTGCTTAGGAGGTTAGGAGGTTTCACCAGAGGGAATGGATTTGACGCAGGCAGTTTTGGAGCAGTCAAGGGCTTTGACCAGTCTGGTGGCGCACCTTGCAGCGAACAGCTCAGACCCTTTTTCAGATCTCAGCAGCTCCTCCAGTGCGCTCTCGAGCAAAGGGGCGATTGGCAGGGCAAAGCTTCAGTCGGAGCTAGCTGCCCACAAGGGTTTCAACAGTGTCATTCAGAGCATGGCGAGAAGGATGCAGCCGGCTTTGCCGTCGGAGGTGGAACTTTCGGTGTTGAGGGACAGGGGGATTACACCCACTCAATACCTGGAGCGCTTTGGTGGTTTTGGTCGCTGCAAGGACATCGGGTTCATCATTTGGCAGGTTGCGATGTGCCTCAATCATATGATGGAAGAGAATCATGCAGCAGCCAGATACAGCCTGAGTCTCCTCTTTGTGTGCCTGGAGCAGACTGCAATGGACTCTGGGAACATGCAAGTTGGGTTGCTTCTTTCACTGCAGGAGGATCCACCTCAGTCCCTTTTCACGAACAGATCCATTGCCTCGGCAGCTCTTCCTCGAGCTTTCGCACCAACAGCCCATCAACGGTGGGTCACGACTGCCCTCCAGTTTCTCAAAGAGATGGACATTATTACCAGCAAGCGAGCAGAGGTTGCTGGAGGAAAACTGGGAGGAGACAAAGTAGCAGCAGGCTCATCTACGATGGATGCGAGCTCGGCGCAAACCCCAAAGAGAAAAGCAAAGGCAAAGTCAGGTGGGAAGGGCCAGAAGAATCAAGCACACCAGCAGGTGGACGAGGAGACTTGAACAAGAACTTGATTTTTGAAGAGGAGATCTCCTACCGTCGTCTTCTTGCTTGCCTCCCACGTTGGATTTTACGGACTCACACTGGATTTGCCTCTTTCCTTGCCAGGACTTTCCACATCCAGCGCAATGGCAATAGCCTTGCTTCCGCAATCTTCCCCGTCCCTTTGCCTCGACTTGGACTTTTCCGTGCACAGCCGGTCCCCAAGCTCAGCAAGCGCAAGTGGGCATCACTTTGTGCTCAGCGTGTTCTTCATGTTGCTGTGGCAACGGTATGAAGCCTGTTCCAGCTGCATCGCTTGGGAGGAGACCAAATTCCTTTCACCTGGCCGATTACAAAAGGCTTTGGTCTTTGCTGATTGCGTGTGACCGACCTGAGACTGTTCCCTTGCCTCCAGGAAGGTCTGGTTTTGAATTTATTGCACGACTCATTGAGCTTGAGCATTTTGCCAGCTCGCAGGCAAGCTTCAGTACGGACATGCACTCAAGCGCGGCTGAGAGGGCCACAGCAAGCCGTTTTCTGTGGGAAGATCGACAAGGAGTTTGCCTTTGTCCCTGAAGAGGAGTTTAGTGCAGTGCAGCCCTACCGAAGCCTCAAGACTGAGCGTTTGAAGCTTTCTGGCACAGGCGCATGGGAGATGGAGGATTATCTCCTTGACAACCTCTGGCTGCCTTTTGTTGAACCAGACATTCTTTTTCATCACCATGTTGCAGCCTGGGATGGCCCCGTTTTCACTCATGAAGACCGAAATGAAAATCTCGCCTTGGCAAGGTTGTGGGATAGCAGGGGCCTTCTTGCTTTGTTTCATGAGCCACATCCCAGCGGCCTGGCATCCAGAGTTTTCAACGCTCACAAGAACGCCACGACAGATAGGCAGAGAGGAGACCGCAGATGGCTGAACTCCGCTGAGAGGCGCCCACAAGGCCCCTCTATGTTTTTGCCAGCTGGGCCCAACCTTACTATATGCTGCACTGTCCAAAAGGTTTCAAGCTCGTAGCATGTGCTTCAGACAGGAAGGACTTCTACCACCAGAGCAAAGTCACCAGGTCACGGGCTTGGTCCAATTTGCTGCCTTTTTGTTTTGAAGCGAGTGAGTTTGCGGGGTCAGCTGCGTTTGAAGAGCTCCTCAGAGAAGTTGGGAAACCCACTACACGAGAGGGACATGGAGACCGGTATGGCATGAAGCCTAGGCCAATTCTGCACGAAGCTGATGTTCCGCAGGTCTGGGCCGGCTTCAAGTCACTTTTCCAAGGTGATCACCTGGGCGTCGAGTTTGCCCTCTCCAGTCATGCAGAGCTTCTCAAGCAAAGTGGGCTTTTGACACCTGAGACATATGTTTTGCGGCACCACCCATTTCCTTCAGGCGAACTTTGGGAAGGCCTCGTGATTGACGACTATTTGACTATTTTGTCATTTCTCGAGAGTTTGGCAACACAAATCCTGAGACTGCTAGATCCGTGTCTTGCCTTGATGCTGCAGAGTTAGCTTATGAGCGAGCTGGTGTCTTTGGGTCCCCCGACAAGACTGTGCGTGGACAGGATAGCTTCAAAGTTATTGGTGCAGAAGTCCACTCTGACAGCAGAGCCAGGTCAGCAGGGGTTGTTACCGTTGCTGCTCCAGCATCCAAGCGTTTGCCTATGATTGCATTGTCCCTGGAGGTCGCCAGAATGCCGGTCATCTCCCGTGCCATTGCTTCACGTCTTGCAGGGACCTGGATTTCTGTTGTCATGTACCGGAGGCAGTGCAGCTGTGTCCTGGCGGAGATCTTTGGCTATGGATCCAAAACTCCCTCTGATGCCAATGAGGTGCTCCAGCTGCCAAGGGCTGTTGCTGATGAACTGGTTGTAGCGAGCATTCTTGGGCTTTTTGCAATCACTGATGTTTCCGTGCCATACGCGACAGCAAGATCTATGCCACAGATGCTTCCATGTCCAAGGGGGCCTTCACCTCAGTGAACGTGTTTGGCTTGGCGGAGACAAGAAGGGAACATACACGCTTTTGGATGGAAGTGCGCGCCAACAATTGCGCACTCTTGGAGTTGATGTTGATGAGGTCCCCACGCATGTTGACTTTGCCCAACCGGCCAAGGCATTAGAGTTCTACTTAGACTCAGTTGAGATCTGTGGTGGTTCCGGTGTTTTGTCTGATGCTATGTGTCAGCAGGGGCTCATTGTTTGCACTCCTATTGATCTGTCCAAGAGCTCTCACTATGACATCACGAGCCTGAAGCTGATTAACTGGATTTTTCAAATGATCGCAGAAAAGAGGTTTCGGAGTGTTGTCGTTGAACCAGTTTGTCGGACCTTTTCTCCAGCTCAACACCCGGCATCGAGGTCCTACTCTCAGCCCTGGGGTTTTTGCCGAACAGATCCAAAGACCTTGCTTGGAAACATCATTGCGCTGAGATGCATAGCAATCCTATGGTTTGCCTGGAGATGGGAAGCCCCTGGACTTTTGGAACAGCCGCAGCTCTCGAAAATGGCTTGGCTTTCTGTTTGGCTCTATCTGCCGCAGATTGGTTTTGAAGAAGCTGTCATCAATTCCTGTGCGCTTGGGAGCATCCACAAGAAACCTTTTAAGTTGTTGGGACATGGTTTGGACATGGAAGCCCTGAGGGTTCCTTGTTTTGGGGGACACCAACATGTGCGCATCGAGGGGAAGTTCACGTCAGCCTCCGCGATATATCACCCCAAGCTTGCAGAGCACTATGACATAGCCAAGCAGTTTAAGAAAGCCCTTGATAAGCATGACGCCCCGGCCGAGAAGAAGGTCACGGAGCTTGAGAGTGTTGTCCTGAATGACATTCTGCAGTCTGGAGGTTGGAGAGTTGAGGCAGCATGGGAGTGGTCTCAGCCTGGGCACATCAACGTGCTAGAGAGCAGATCACTCATTGCCCTCTTCCGCTCCCTTGTCCTTCGTGGAGGTGATGTTCGTTTTGCTGCCCTCCTTGACTCAAGAGTTGCAAAGGGAGCCCATGCGAAGGGCAGGTCATCAGCATATGCTTTGCGCCCCTCTTTGCTCCGAGGCTGCGCCTATGCTTTGGCGGGGAACCTATATCCCTCCTTGGGGTTTGCACCTACCAAACTGAACACTGCAGATGCTCCAACAAGAGACCGCAGCCTGCCACAGCCTGCCGAAAAGTCCATTTTGGATTTCATCACCGGCCAGCAGGCCACTGAGTTGCATTCACGTCAGTTCTCAAAGGGGACAGCAGGATGGATTCGGCTTTACATCCTGGCTGTCATGTGCCTTTGCCCTGTTGATGGATTTTGTCACAGTGAGCCTGCCTATTCCGCTTCTGGATTTTGGATTTTTCCCTGTCACATCTGCGTCTGCGTCTGCCTTGGACTTGTCCTTGGATTTGTCGCAATCTGCGTCATTGGATTTTCCCTGTCTTTGGATTTTCCCAGGATAGTGTCCCCAATCTCTCTCCTTGGACTTCCTGTGTTGGCTCCCGGAGGATAAGTAGCCCCAAAAGATGGATAATGCCAATCTTAGCCCTAAGTTTGAGTTTTCACGCCGCCCCGTGTTTTGCCATGCCGTTGTCACCAGCTGGATCTGAAGAGCAGTCGAGAGCTGCAAGACGTTCTGGAACTGTGCTGATTGCGGATAGGGTCGTTTTGCAACAGACCCGAAATCGGCGAGAATCTCTGCTTTTAGCCTTCGATGCTTGGCTGGCTGCAAATTGGCGAACCACTTTGGAGACACTGCTGAATGGCCCTGGCTTTGACTGCGAAGCTGTGTCTGAGGCCCTAGTAGCTTACGGGAGAGACATGTACCAAGCAGGAAAATCCTACGGGAGGTACAGCGAGACCATAAACGCTGTCACTGCAAGGCGTCCGATTTTGCGGCGCCATGTTGCCAGCGCCTGGGATCTGGCATTCAATTGGGTTGTTGATGAGCCTCATGAACACCATGCTGCACTTCCACTTTCAGTTCTTCTGTCATGCGTAGCACTATCTCTTCTTTGGGGTTGGACACGTGAATCAGCCTTGATAGCATTAGCTTGGACGGGCGTTTTGCGAATTGGAGAGGTTTTTGCTGCAAAAAGGGGAGGTCTGATTTTACCATGTGACGCTGCACCCGGGCTTTCATCAGCGATCCTTTTGATAAAAGCCCCGAAGACCAGAGGCAGGGCTGCGCGTCACCAATCAACGCGCATTGACCCAGAGGACATAGTCATGCTGCTGAGTGCGGTTTTCAGAGATTTGCTTCCGGGAGAGCCTTTGTGGCCCTTCTCACCTGCTACGATGCGAAGGAGGTTGACATGTCTCCTTGCTGCACTTGGCATGACTTTGGGTGGAGATGGCCAGATGCCATACTCACTGAGTTCCCTACGTCCTGGGTGAGCCACGTACTGGCTGGCAGAGACAGAAGACGCAGAATTCGTACGGAGAAAGGGACGTTGGCTATCGACAAGAGTTTGGAAATCTACTTGCAAGAAGCTGCAGTTGCGACCTATGACAAGAAGCTTTCACAAGTGACCAAAAGCCGAATTTCAGGCCCCTGCAAGCATTTTTCAAACATTCTCGAGAAAGCCATATTCCTGAAAACCAGCAAAATTCCAGAAGCAGTTTGGGCCCAGTTGTGGTGATGCTGGGATGCTGGGAACTTGGGCTGAATCATGCCAAAAACTGGCAGACGTTTTCACCAGAGAAGACCCCAGCAGGAAGTGGAAAAGAAAGTGGAGCTTGAGCACTTGAGCCTCATAAGTGCGACTGTGGAATGGCTTTTCATGCTCAAAGTCTACCCACCTCTACGCTTCGCCCCAACCCTTTAAGCACTCACAACTGGGCTGAATCATGCCAAAAACTGGCAGACGTTTTCACCAGAGAAGACCCCAGCAGGAAGTGGAAAAGAAAGTGGAGCTTGAGCACTTATATAATATTCTATAATATTGTAGTCTGTATATATATATATATGTATATACATTTTTCTTTGCAGCAATGGTCATTGATATTTTGTGATAAAAGGTATTGTAAGCGAGTGTCATGGCTCTGGATGAATTTGGTGGTTGTTGGGTTGCCTGATCGCACCCACCTCTGTTTATGGCTCAGGTGCAGGTCTTGCCCGAAGAAATTGACTGCCTCTTGTCCCGGTTGACGTTGACATACGACCCCGCATCCGATACATATTCGTACCTCGTCCCAAAATGTATGCAGTGTTTTCAAAAATGCAACCCCACCAATTTTGATTAGTCTCAAGTATTTTTTTGTATTCCATCCTGCATGAGATGATGATCCTAGTTGACATTTGGAAGGGGGTTGAAATCTCTCAGGTCCTAGCAACAACATTTTCGAAAATAGTAATTCGAAAAACAATTTCACTAGTAGATTTGCGGCTACCCTATTTTCGTACAAATCTAGTTGGGCAATGAATATATAAATGAAAATTACAAGAAAGGTTTCGTCTCCACAAAACAGCAACCTTTTAATTCCAGACAAACCCAGCCGGCTACACGAGGAACTTGCAAAATGTTGAGCTGCGAGCATTGGGTTGGGCGAATGGCACTGCTGAAGACGAATCACATATGGACCCGAAAATGTCGGGAAAAAACATCCACGAGTAAACACAAATATTATCAAATATTGCTGGAAATTGTGTACTGTTGCTTATAGTTATATAATTTCATGTCTATTTTCTGTTGACCATCCAGAATTTCTTTGAAGCCAACTGTGCCATGTTACATATTATTGTTGTTACTATTTCTTTTGCATCACGTGCAGTTGCGGGTTTGCCATGCAGGACATTCTCTACGAATACCAGTTTCGATCAATGCTGAAGAAACTTGGGGAGACACAGGGGTGGCTTGGCTGCGGTTAACCCAAAATGGTACTCCGTACTGAAGTATCAATGAAATGGGTTCGCCCGCTATTGGTAAACTGGTGGTTTATTGATTTTGGGCTACCATGAATTAATGATATTATGATCATAGCCCCTTATCCATCACTTTCCCAGCTGAAAGGGGCCTTGTTTGTGGGAACGAACCTATTTCGCATCCCGGGCGTGGTTGAACCAAGCGGCATTTCTCCAGTGCCGAGGTACAAATTGGGCAAGGATGTATTCATTGCGCCTTACGACTGGCGCTTAGCTGGTGATGCTCACTCCAAGCGCCAGAACGGAGTTGGAGGCTACTACCCCCAGCTCCAGCTGCTGATTGAGGAAACCGTAAAGGCGCGCAGATGATGGGGAAGAGAGGATGAGATCCTGAATTTCATGGCCATATTTAGAGGGGAATACAAATTTTGCTGGAGTTGGGGCCGGGATGTCCATCTATTCCTTTTTTCCAAAAATATATTTCTGAACAAACCTGCACCTGTCCATGTTCCAAACTGCGACAAGTGCGAGGCGACCGGCCGGCAAGCTGTGGTGCTCTCCCACTCATTGGGATGCTCTTCTGCAGGAAAGGTGTGTTGATGAGGACTCACACACACAGGGAAGAGGAAGGATTCTGGTTGATTTCAACCATCATTTCGAAAAGCGGGAAAAAACACATTCATCCATTCCATTCCAATGGGCCATGGAGAATCGGAGAATCGTTTTGACTGTTTCTTTCTCATTCTTTCTCTAGTTTTTCTATGTTTTTCTGAGGATGCCCCACCATCCTGTACTTCTTCCACAAGTTCGTGTCAGAGGAATGGAAGGCGCAGCACATTCACGGCTGGGTTGCCTTGTCATCACCTTGGATGGGAGGGGCCAACCTTGTGGAGTCCTACTTGGGAGGATGGACGCTCGGTTTGCCCTCTTGGCTCATTCCACATGACTATGTCAGGCCAGTTCAAGTGAATGCCAGCAGTGCTTTGGCGGCAGACCAGTGGGACCAGTGGGACGCCTGGACGTAGGGTAGGATGGACCATTTGCAGATGATGATAAACAGTGATAAACCATGGGATGTGATGGGGGTTTCAAATTTAGAGACGGCCCCGTTCATTGTAGTTTCAGTATTATTTGAAAATTATTTGTGTAAGTGTCTCTGCATCCGTTTCGCAAAGCCTTGGTTTCAGGTGGTGTGATGATCAGTCCCCATCCCAAAGCCTTTGGCAGCATGCCCATTGTGCAGACCCCTTCCCGCAACTACACAGCTGCAGATGTCCCAGAGCTGGTACGAATCATTGGCAAATCCACCTGGGGAAATCAGACAGGAGCTTTGTTCGACAAGTTGCAGGGACCCTATGCGGAGCTTCAGAGCACACCTTCCAAGATCCAGCTCCACAACTGGTACTCAAAGGGTATCCAGACTGCGGGGTTTGATTTTCCAAGTTTTCTTCAATAAAAAGAATAAATCATGCTGAAGAAAGTGTTGGCCGTCCTCTTTATCCTCATCCTAAGACTGGGGCAATGATCCCCAAGCAGATTCCTATGGGGAGGGTGGCACCCAGGTATCAAGACTGGTGAAGCCTTCATTTTCGATTCCGATCTTCACGACGGCTTTGACAAGGCGGCTTCCAAGACGGTCTGGGGTGATGGCGATGGCTTGGTGAATCTTCTCTCCTTGAAGCAGGTGGAGGAAGTCTGGCCCAAGGACCCACAAACTTCGACCAAGGTCTTTCCCAATTGCACCCATTTCGGCATGCTCTCGGATCCGCGCGTCTTGACGGCCCTTGCAGAGTATTTGGCCAGAGATGATAGGGCCGATACGGATGGATCACAGAATGTGACCCTCTTGGTGTAAGATTGGCCGACGGTTTCCTGATTCTTCCCATTTTCCTGGTCTAGCCATTTGCTGTTGAATTTCTCGTTTGATGTGTGAACGTACCGTAGAATCACGTTTCAGACTTTTCACAGATCATGCGATCATACCATACCATATCTCGAGACCCCGGGGAAGCACAGAGCCAAGGTTTCACCTTGTTATCGACTAGTTGGTGGTTTCAACTTTGCTCATTGCGGAACTCTGTTTCTTATTTTTGGTTGTCTTTCTTGTTTGATTCCTTAGGGGGAATTGAAACCACCCACCACCAGCGACATTTTGCAGCTTGTCCACAGGTCGGCACAATCCAAGGGGGTTGCTTGCAGAGATCTGCGCCCTTTGTTGAGGGATGGATTCAAAAAGATGGCAGTTTGTACCGCAGTTCATTAGCCTTGATTTCAGTCGTTTATTGAACTGAATGCTTTCTTTGGTGGCTGAAAGTTGCGTTGACCAGTTGCATTGACCAACATTGCCTATTTCTTATTACTGTAATTGCATTAATTCTGCCCACCACAGTGCTGCTTCTAGATTGCGATTGTGAGTGTTTATGCTTCATGCAGGAAGCTTTCAAGACAAGCGAGTGAAAGCTGAACTCTTCCATAATGTTGTCCTTCTCAACCCGGTGCCAAGCACTTCAAACAGCTCCCTGCAGGGTAACCCTCGGCAAGCAGTAGATTCAGGGTTTAGCGTTTAGCTGTACATGGAATAAACTGACAGACCCTTCTAAATTAATTTTTGTTGTGCATGCAACCTAAAATAAGCTATTCCTGGGAATGGAAAGCTCTAGAAATTCAGGTTTCCACACGTCCCATGCTGGCGCCATGCTGAAATTGGTGGTGGCCACGCCTGACAAGCGAAAGGCGGGGGTCTGCGCGTTTGTTTGTTTGATGGTGGGCCACACTCAAAGTTGTGAGGAGTGGGGTGGGGCCAAAAAATGAGGGCACCAATATGCCACGGGCTCCAAAAGGCACGTTTGCTTTTCTTGTAATTTCTAAACGGCTTGTTCAAATGTGTGGATTCCTGAGGCAAACGCAGGTTTTGTTGGGATTGGAGTGTAGAGATTCGCCAGGTGGAGCTGGATTGCTCTCCTTCCGAGACATTTGCTGAGGTGGGTTCTCCGGGTCCTTTTGCTGCGGTGGGAGATGAGCAAGTTTGCCAGAGTGCTTTTCTAGAAAGCTTTCACCTTTACGATTTCTGCATATACCCCATTAAATCACCTTATGAATAATGACGGAAATATTCACTTTGATGATGCCACGCCACTCCCCAAAAATTATGAAGCAACATATTTGGGAAATGAACTTAACAGGGAAATCAATGTGAAACATGAAATTTTGAACAAACTCCAAACTGTCAGAATAACATGGTTCAAACTTCTGCCTTATTGGAAAGCGTCGGATGCAAACATAAAATGGAAACTTAGAATTTTTGATGCAGTGATCCGAGCCAAGTTGTTATATGGTTTGGAAACGGTTCATCTTACAAAAGCCATGTTGAACAAAATCGACGCATTCCAGATCCGAGGATTGAGGAAAATCCTCAACCTCCCGTCTACTTTTATTGACAGGCGGTTCACAAACAGATATGTTTTGCGAAGAGCATCCGATCTCATGTCCACTCATGGAAAACATGAAAACAACCTTTTATTCAGCCATTGTTATAATGAAAGGCGAGCCAAATTATTGGGACATATTGCCAGAACCACTCAACAAGACCCTTTACGTCAAATCTCCTTTCAACCAAATTCAGTGAACCGTGTCCCATATGGAAAAAAGAGGCACGGTAGACCAAGGCAAAACTGGTTGCATTACACCAAAAAATATATATACGAAGAAAAACTGCATCAGTTTAACTATGAAGAGGCCGTTCAAGAGGATGCATGTATATTCAATGCAGCCAATGCTAGATACTTTTAACAAAGCAGGCACGTTTGGCTATGCCTACGCCTTGCTTCCGCTTTTGACATGTCGTCGTAGCAGGGTAGGGCAGCAAAAAAAGAAAAAAATATATTATAAGATTATATATATATACCTCATTATACCTATACATATATACACACACACATATATACATACATATATATATATATATCAAAGTGGCCAAAGAATTTTCCCATCACAAATATCTCCAGTTCAAGTGCGGAAGGAGTTTTCAATAGCGACAACTTGCACCGAAAGTTTGAGCCAAGTTGCAGGTCAAGTGTCGGATCGAGGCAGGGGTTTATGCAGACAGCTTTACATCGACTTCCAACACATGGCATCTGTTTGAAAATCCGGTACTCTTAAATTCCAATGGTTATGTAGCATAATTTAATATGATTTAGCCATAATTTTCCAATTAAACATAACATATTTTTTTCGCACACACACACATATATATATATGCCCCGATTTCAGACAAGCCTATATTTGTTAGCAGATTTTTCTGAGCAGAAAGGCTGCAACCGGAGTCCCGCCAGACAAGCAAGGCTCTTAGGCTTCGATGGTGCGATGCTTTTGCTGTTCATAGACGACAGAGGCAGAAAACGATGAGTACTTCAAGGTGATGATGGTGATGATGGTGATGAAGATGATGATGATGATGAGGAGGAGGAGGAGGGCGACAACGACGACGACGACAACGACGACGACGATGATGATTATGGTGACGATGATAATGATGAGGATGATGAGGATGAGGATGATGAGGATGAGGATAAGGATGAGGATAAGGATGATGATGATGATGATGATGATGATGCTGATGCTGATGCTGATGCTGATGATGAGGATGATGAGGATGATGAGGATGATGAGGATGAGGATGATGATGATGATGATGGTGATGATGATGATGAGGATGATGAGGATGAGGATGAGGATGAGGATGAGGATGATGATGAGGATGACGATGACGATGACAACGAGGACAAAGGAAGCAATGGTAATGAAAACAAGGAAGAGAGGTGACAAGGAAGAGGATTGGTGAAGAAGATTATAGTGATGAGGACAATGAGGATTTTCAGGAGGATGACAATTGCGACACGTGGACTTCTTGTGATAGATGTGAATCAGTCGAATTCCTTGTGTTATCATTAGTTATCATCCTATTAAGAAAGATGTCACTGGACCGTGGAGCCTGCTGTGTGATCTTTGCCATTTGGACCTTTTTGTTCAGTACAGTACCCTAGTACGCGGAGAGTCGTGCAGACCGGTAGCAATTTGAACAAAGCAACCTCAAAGCAACCTCAAAGCAACCTCAAAGCAACCTCAAAGCAACCTCAAAGCAACCTCAAAGCAACCTCAAAGCAACGGATGATGGCAGTATATACAAACAGCCCTTGGCACATATTGAGCTTTTCATTAACTTATGAAATATGAAGTCAAGAATCTGAAACAGCGCGTGGGATCTCTGGGGCACACCACATGACCAGCAAATGACCAGCACATTCGCTTTTCGTCAAACCGTGGTGGCTTTGCTAATGATCTTCGCGTGCTATGGGCGCCAGCTGCAGATGCAGGCACAGTTCAAGCCATGCACACCAGATCAACCATTTTTGGGGTACAGTACTCTGAACCAGACCTTTTCTGTATGCCATCGGGAAGTCTTACATCTTGGTTTTACTTGGTTTTACCACATTAAGCTGAGCCTCCAGCTCGCCGTCATTGTGTCCGAATGCCTTGAGGCGCAAGATTCCGACCGACGAGGCTCCGTAACGATTCTGTATGAATCCGCCGGAGTCAGTTGTGTCAGTTTTTTAACCATAGAACTGGTAGAACTCTGATTTTGATTTTGTGAGGTGTTTCTTGGCACTTGATTTGCTCGGAGCTGTTGGATTTCAGCACCTTTGGCTCTATAGGGGGCTTCGACTTCCTAGTTGGGAATCATGTCTGTGACAGATGCAAATAGCAGCAGATCCAGGTTTGGCCTCTTCCTGGTCTACATCTTGGTGGTGTTCTATGCTCTTTGTTTCCAGCTCCAGTCACCCCTGGAGCCATTCTTAGTTGAAAAGTTGGTCGGGAAGGACAAGTCCTCAGATGCCAGTGTGTCATATGGGCGTTTGCAGTCCCTATTCTCTGGTATCCAGATGTTTGCCTCCCTGCTTTTCGGCCACATTCTTGACAAGTTTGGGGTCCGGGTCGGCTTCACTCTCAACTTCTTAGCCTGTGCGGCAACTTATTACTTGCTCTCCATCACTTCCAGCATGACAATGCTATACATGTCCAAGATCCCTGGCATCGGCATGGCAGGTTTCCTTTGCGCTCAGACAGCTGTGAGTCAGCTCACCAGGGCCGGCCCTGAGCGCGTCCAAGCCTTGGGTCGCCTCACATCCGCCTACACCGTGGGCGGCATCCTGGGACCTTACCTGGGGGGTCTGCTCGGAGGTCAAGGGGACTACTTCCTTGGTGCCAAATTGGCCATGTTGGGCTCTCTGGTGGCTGCTGCTTGCTGCTTGATGCTTCCAGTGGACCACATGGACGTGCCATCCATTGAGCTGCAGAATGTTTCGGAAAAAACCGCAAAAGTTGAACTGCCTTGGATCCAGCGGATGATGATGGTCATCCGAGTGGCTGGCTTTCTTAGTGGTGTGAAGCTGATCACCTCAACTGCCAATTCTATGGCTTCTGCGACGCAGAATTTGATCCTGAAGAATCAACTGGGCTTTGCGGAGGCGGATCTGGGCTTCTTCATGTCTGCCCAATTTGCCTTTGGGGCTGTCGCAAATGCAGCGTCTGGTTGGTGGTTTCAAGCGTTTTGTGTTTCCCATCTTTTTTCGAGGAAGAAATGGTGATGACGATGATGACGATGATGACCATGATGACGATGATGACGATGATGACGATGATGACGATGATGACAGTGATGACGGTCATGACGATGATGACAACGATGACGACCACGACAAAGACGCGGACGAGGAGGACGACGACGACGACGATGATGATGAGTAGGAAAAGGAGGACGACGGCGACGGTGATGATTCCACTTGACTTTGCCCGGTTCGGATGGGTTGAAAGAACCAACCAGGTATTACTGGCTCCTATTGCAAAGTTGATGGGCAGCGTGCTTCAAAATGTGGTGCGCCACTGCGTGCTGGCCATGGCTGCTTTGTATGCCCTCCAGTCCTTGCTGAACTCGGAGTTGCTGCCGATTGGGCTGCCTCCAACAGCGCAGAAAGGCAGCTTCATCAGTCTGGCTTTGGGCTTGGCCATCTTCCAGTACAGCCTTTCCACCAGCATCACAGCCGAGAATACCCAGCGGGTGCGTGAGGATATGAAGGGCACGCTGATTGGGATGGAGCATTGTATATTCTCAGCTGCAAGGGTGGCCACTCCGGCCATCGGCATTGGTGTGCTGAATGCATATGGTATGGGAGGATTGTATGCCACCTGCTCTTCCATTTTCGTTGGCACTTTCCTTCTGTGGACTGTCACAGTTGAACGGTTCTTGCCCAACTTGCCGCCTTCCGATGTTAAGGATCGGTGACGAGATGCACGGGGCGGGTTGGTAAAACCAACAAGCCGTCTGGGTTTCGGTCTTGTTCTGCGGGAGACTCAAAGACTTTCTCCTTTGCAGTTCGCGGAGGTAGCAGCACGACAAGGTGACAAGGCGAGAGAAGATGGAAAAGGAAAGAAAAAACTCCTTTAGCAGCCTGCATGCCCTAGCTATCCCTAGCTTGTCATTTTTGTCGTTTTAAGACACCAAACGATATGCTGCTGGCCCTTGGCAGGAAGCCATTCCAGTCCAGGCGAGCGAGGCCGAGCGAGATGAGTTGCTTGAGGCAGACCATGAGAACCCTGGCAGCAGTCGGGTGGACTTCAGATCAGCGGAGCAGATTTGGTTCCTGAAGACGTTGCCATCATGGAATTTGCAGTGGTTGTGGTGTCATGGTTACCATTTATGATGAAGATTCCGGTTGCACTTTTTCGGTCACTGCCATTGCTGCTCTTACTGTCGTTGTTCAACCATATATCTTGGTTGTTGTTGTTATCTCTTCTGGTTATGGCTTGCCCTACTGTTCCTATCATCTGAGATTGCGACTTAAAGCATGGCGCGAGTGCTACTAAGCTGTGCGGCGCAAAAGCGCCGAAATCCGCCCAGGCAGTTCCTAGCTGATCCCCCTCGTGCAGAGGTATTGGCTGAGACTTGGATGCAGTGTATGCATATATATATACATATATATTTATATATATATAGACATATATATATATTTGCAGTTACGTATATCATAGCCTAGCTTTAAATGAATAAATGTCACTTGAAGTTATTTTCCTTTCTTCATTGCAAGGTTTCGAATGCCACCTGACATGATGACCATGATGCTTCAATTACGGTGAATTCCCCGAAAAGGTTTATGATAAGCTTCTGGCGGCTGCATCAGGACACACTGGGCATACTCTCCCGTGCATATGCTGGAACTGGCTGGGGAGACGACACAGCAGATTGGGAAGGCTGGTGAGCTTGGATGAGATTGTTGAAGCGAAGGAACAAGTTACCTTCTGGTAAACTAACATAGTTGAACATCCCCATTTTTAATAGGAAAACCATCATAAACCATCTATAAATGGTCCACAATCCATAGCTATATTAGTTTACTGGAGGGTAGCAACCAGCAACGTTAATAAATTTTAATTGAATGGACAACTAGAGGTACTTGGACAGATGTAACCAGACAAAATGAACTGCAATTGCCCTTGTAACAGCAGCAACAGGGGGTGGCAGGGCTAGGAGCGGCACAGCCAGGCGTTCTGTCTGTTGACAGCACCAATGCGTTCTCCAATTCCGCCCTCTATGGTCTCTTGACGTCGTCACATGTTGTCACTTCCTACTCTCGCAGTCAAATAGGAAAAAAGAACGATGGAGGCAGAAACCACTTCACTTCACAAATCCAGAAGTTGTTCTGAAGGAGTTACCCTCCGGCAATTGGGCATGGCAATGAGAAATTAGCCCAGTAAGCAGAGAACATCCCCCATCCTTGGATTATTTTTTGTGGGCCTTGGGGATGGCTCAGATTTTTCTGGAAATGAACCACTCTAATCATCACTCCTTGGTATCGTTTGGCTAAGGAGAGATCAGTGAGCAGGACTTTGCTGATCTTCTCTTCGGCTTGGGTTTGAGGCCACCAGCTGTGGTCTATGTTCCCTGGCTGGGAGTGGGAAAGCAGATTATGATGGATCTTAATTTGGTCATGGCAGTGATGGCAGCAAGGTGAAACAAATCCGAGGATTTGGGCAGTGGAACTGGCAAGCTAGCCTCTTGGGCACCGCTGAGTCATCCAGGGTTGATCCGGCAGATGTTGGGCTACAGCTGAACTATGAACCAACACTAAACCACCCATTGGTGGTTTCATTTTCCTAATTTGGTTGGATGGTTCCCAGATTTGTACATATACTATATATATACATATATATACTATATATATATACATATATATATTATATATATTATATCTATATCATATATCATATATCAATATCTACATCTGTATCTGTATCTATATCTATATCTATCTATATACATATATATATATATACATATCCATGATTAACTCCCCCCATTTCTTTTTTGCTTCATCACCCTTCCCCAGCTTGTGATTCTTCATTGGAGGAAGCGTGCTTGCCTCTACAATTTGCTGAAGATCATGGGAGTTTCTCAAAATATGCCTCAAATTAATCAAACATGTGGCATCATCATATGAGTCATATGAGAGTTTCCACAAGTTGTTTCTGAGGTCAATTTGGCAGCTCTGCTGGGTTTTTCTGCCACGGGCATCGAGCTAGAACCTGGCCGTCACCAGCGGGCGTGTCCTCCTTGGCATGTTGGGTCCCGAACTCGAATCCTCAAGAGAAAGAGCCTACAATTTCGGATATTTCTATCAAGATATGGGGATGGGCCAAAGTTATTGACCCCCCCAAAAAAATGGTTACAATTTGAAACTCTTTGTCCCCCTTTCGCCTCAGCACCGTTTCAGTACCCGCAAACAACCGTGGGCCAGGCACTGCTTCAAAAGCTCTTCTCAGACAGGTGACGTTTGGGGATGTTTTTGGGCTCTTGCCTTGGCCCATTGATGCTTATAATCGATGCAATTGAACGCAAGTCTGTTGTTTTTTCCCTTTTCTTAAATTATATGTGCATGTCTGATCATGTATGTATACATACATATATGTATGCTTGTATGTGTATATATTTATATGTGTGTATCTACACATGTAAATGTATCCATTGGCATTTGTGAATATAATATTGGTTTGTACACACACACACGTACTTCACGTGTTTTGTGCGTGCTATTCTATTAGTAGTTCTTTTTTCCTCCAGGGATCTCAGTCAACTTTCCTCGTTGATCACTCATTGAGGGTGAGTCGGTGCGAAGCGCAGGTTGGCAGCAACTGCGAAGGGCTTCAGCCGCGCTTGCCGCGCTTTGTGCATACCAGCTTCCTGGACTTCGACTTTTCCGATGCGGACTGGGATTTTTTGACAGTGGGGATGTGGCTGGAAAGGTTAGCTAGAATATCGCCAGACCCACATCTCTCACCCTGCATTCCCCTGAGCATCAATTAACTTCGACTTGTCTGCATGCAGGACTTTGTGTGGGCCAATTCAATTGTGTTTGCGCCACATATGATGGAGGCCAATTCCAACGGAAGACTTTCGATCTCAGGTGTCTTGGATGTACCCATGATGTACCTGTAGTTCCGGAGACGCCTGCAGCTGATAGGCAGTCGCGAATGTAGCGCGGAAGATGCGCCCAGGGAGCCTGATAGCCACTCATAAGATTCTCGGCTTGATGAGGGTTGCAGGCTGGCCCTGCTGGCCGTGCGTTTGCTCCTGATGCCCCTTCACTGAAGCACAAGTCCTTGGGATTTCTGCCTAAGGCCCCTGCCTGGTCCAGGCTTCGAGTTCTATCGTTTCTTGGCGAAAAGCGGCCTCATTGTTTTTCATCCTCAATTGAGAGAGGGGTTTAGCAAAGTTTGGCAGTCAGGTTTGTGGAAAGATCAGTTAAAGAGAGCTGAAGGAGATGCCAAAATATCGAAAATGCTTAGGCGAAGTTGATCTGCGGGCCTCCTGGCGACCTCAGGGAAGTGTATCCTTTCAAGTGCAGAGGGTAGTTGGAGCAGAATGATTCCCGGAGACGCTCGTCTCAGCTCCAAGCTGCCCTCAGCCTGGCACATCAAAAAAGCAAAAAGCTTTTGGCTTTCAATGGCACGCCTTAGGCGTGAAAAGCGGTTTTTACACCGTTGACCAGAGGTACAGATGACTGGCTAGACCCAGTCTTCATTTAGGCTCATCAAATTTGGGATATTTGGGCCAGTCTCACCAGATCGGTGCAGTTTTGCTGGCAGCCCCTTTGGATAAGGCAGCTGTTCCTTGAGAGGGACATGAGGCTGCGGGGTTGTCCGACTTTCCAAGCACAATGGGGCCTGATTGGGGCCTTGCTAGTGCGTTTTTGAGTGCGGAGCACTTCGAGAATTGCTTCCCATTCGATTTTTCCAGGGGTACTTGTACCCCTACCGTGCGAAGCTCTTGCTGAAAGGAGCAACTGAGGAACTCCCTCAAGTCCTGGCAGTTCAGTTGCTTTCACACGGTACTTTCACTGTTGGTGCCACTCGGGCATGGAGGGCATTTTCATGGTATGAAATGGTATGAAATGGCATGAAAGAATTTAGCTTCGATGGTTTCTCTGACCCGCTGGCCCCATGGACATCGGAATCACTTGATTTGCGGTGCTGGGTAGGTCTGAGATCAGGCGCAACGGACCTGAACCATGAAAGTGTTTAGAGGGTCCGGTGAAGTCTGCTGTTACCTTTCGCTCAAAACCTGAAGCAGGCATTATTGCTCCCACCCAAACTAACGCAGTCAAGTCATTGGTGCTGGTTCAGCACGCTTAATGTGGCTGTGGTAAGCCTGCAAAATTTCTACCACGCAGTGACGCAGTGCTAATAAAATTGGGGTTCGTTAATTTGGGTCCCGTGCCCCCTTGTACCACACCAGCCGCTTTGCTTCAGTGCCAGAAGGGCGCCCCGAGGTTTTAAAGCCAAGGCGGAGCACCTGGATTCTGCCCAGCAGTGTTTCACCGAAAAAACTGCGCCAGACCTGGGAGATTTTGGACACCCAGACCATTTTTCCAGAGAATTCGACACTTTGCCCATTTCACTTGGATGTATGCTCCAGGTTTGTTGCTTGAAATGGTCAAACGTTTACTGTTCTGTACATATATATATATACAGATGGCAAAAGTGACCCCTTTCTTTTTGGGTTCATGTGGTACCTCATTAGGGGCGGGTCTGGTAAAAAAAACCAAATGGTAATTGGGCAAATAGGGGATGGTTTACACTTAGGTTTGCCACACTATCATACATCCTTATTTTAGCTGGTCAAAGTCCTTTTTATTTGTTGCTAAAATCCATAATTTTGGGCCCATAATGATGCTAGAGACAGTCGTTGCAACATGTTGCAACCTTGAGACTGAGGCAGCGGCTGCTTTGTAATGGCCGCGAGCGCAAAGATGGGAAGGAGACGTTCAGGGCCTCAGCATGAAAGTAGATGCGTTTCCTGTGATTCCACGAGGGTTTCTAGATTTAGGGTGGATTGCCGGAGGGTACTTAACAATTTATATAATATAAGTTAATATAAGTCTCAAGATTTTGGGCTTTGACTGCGCACACATTTGAGACCGAGCACATCCTGGTGCTGAGGCTGGCGAGTGCAGGAGTGGGCGCGAAAAGCAAGATCATGCTGATGCCCTGGGCTCGAACTTGGTCAAAACAAATGGGGGGTCCCCAAGTCACCATGGGTTTCAATTCTGGTCATCTATGATGACTTGAGGGCACCCCGCTGTCCGGACCGAGGCTGGCACCTGGCTACAGCATGCCAGCTGCCGCGCCCGCGCCCGAAGCGCGCGAGGCGCCCGCGGTGCCGGACTCTGAGGAGGCGAGAGCTGTGAGATCCATCATTGGACCATGACTTAGTATTGCAACTCATGATTGTGGGGTACCTCCATTTTGGGAAACCTCCGAAAATTTGCAATCTTTGGTTGATAGACAGCCCCAGTTGCCGGATTTTCACATTGCCACGATTTTTCAGGGTGAGGGCCCATCACTGTTTAGAGGAATGCCTCGCACCTGCCACGAGGCGGAAGCCGTCGAGCTGGAGGGAGAACTGCCAGGCACAGTGTTTTTGACTGAAGCTGTGGGGCATTTTGCCTGAAGTTAAGTTGGTTGCAAGGTGCTCTAGCCGCGGATCAGGTGCACCATGGCAGATGGGTGAGGCTGGGGGTTGCCTATTACACATTTCTTCAGCCAGGCATCGATGCAATCCGTGTTGGTTCGCCAAGGGTCAGAAACCCAATCAGGCATTCCATCCTGCACTATTTGTACTAAAGGACGTGCGGGCTGACATCTGACTCTGTAGATGCTGCTGCTTCTAAGGCGAAACCGCTATCGAGTTCGAGTGCCACAAGGGTTGAAAGAGGTGCATTTCAGCAGCGGAAAGCACTCTCAGAAAAGGGGCGATGCGTTTTTTTCGAGTTTCTGATGTTTCTGTCGATGCATTTAATCTAAGTGTTCGAATCTATGTGGCAACTCCAACCCCCCAAACAAGAGAGTTTTTTGGGTAGGCCTTTCTCCTAAAAGGCGACCTTTGGGAACCTCGCCGATTTCCTGGCCGCGCAGATGTTGCCTCCTGGCATTCCACCGTGGGGCTCCACAGCCCAGAAAAACAGGAGGACACGCCAAAATCATCCACTTCATCGTTGATTTTGGATGATGTTGGTAGTGAAACGAAGTGACAGATTGTGAGCAAAAGGGAAAACTATCAGTTTCTTGTTTTGGTGTATCCAGATGTAGTCATTTGTATTCCAAAGTTTTTAAACCTCCATTTGACCCAGCATGACATGTAAAAAGACACCACCGTTTTCAGTGAAGGTCGGAACTTCGTCTGATCTCCAAGGGTAAGACAGCTGGAAGCTGAGATTATGATGTGCTAAAAGATGCCCGGCATCCCAATCCGACCAAAATTTGGGTACATCTTTGGAACCTGAGAAATGCAATTTCATTGGGATTGGTCTATAATGATATATCACACACACCCACACACACACACCCACACACACACACATATATATAATATAATATATTTTACGTACATACATACATGCATGCATACATACATACATGATCATACATACATACGTACATACATACATACATGCATGCATGCATGCATACATACATACATGATCATACATGATCATACATGATCATACATACATACATACATACATACATACATGATCATACATGATCATACATGATCATACATGTATGATACACACACACACATATATATATACAGTATTTATACAGGTGGATGTATTTTGATTTCATGTTGGGTTCACTAGCAAGGCCTCCAGAGATGATCGCCTGGGTGACGATGGTATGAAAGAAATGCCTGGGCCCTTGCAGTCGGGGATTTTTCTTCCACCACAACGACGCGAAGAGTCATCCCAATATAGAAATATATATAGAAATATATCGAATACATCCATAAAAGTCCAAGTATTCTATTGAATTGTAATGGTCCCCCAACTTGTTGGGTGGATGACTTTTACCGGAAAAAAATAATGGCAAGTAGAACCTGAGATGACGGGATTTCACCTGCAACTCCAACCATGGCTGGCTGGATTCCCCCCAAAATATGGAGGGTTTCAAGTTTCAGTTAACATATTGTTAGATTAGATGGTATGTAGCTGGGAAAATCATCCAAGTAAAATTCTGGGCTATTTTCCAGCAAGCCATGCTTGATGTTGGAGGCTTGGGGGTTGAACATGGACCATGGATGACCATGGCAGGTCGGTCATGCTGCTCTTCAGGGAAGGCTTCCATGTTGCCAGGGTCCCGGAATTCTCACCTGCCAATGGATCGGAACATCAAGGCAGATACCCTCTGGCAATTTCACAGTTTGTGGTGGAAAATCACCACGGAGAAACAGGTCAGGCATCTGTAAATTGGCATTTTTTATATCGCTATGTTTGTCAGAGGGTATATTCCATGAAGTGGATTGGAATCCCATGAAATCCATTCTAGTGATTTTCTCTATTTCCCCATATTTTTCCCAAACGCATCTCCGATGCTTGGGTTCTCGTTTAGTTTACTTTGCTGCGGGGGGAGCGATACGGAAGCGACGACAGGGTGGACGGACGGGAAGCGACGTACTGAGAAGCAGAGCTTTTGGCACGGGCTTCCAGGACAAATTCCAGCAATGCGATTGTCCTGAAAAATTGTGCGCCCAAGACTTTCCAAGTGGTTTGCAAACGTTGGGCGATGGGACATGCATAGCTTCGTTGGCAGGGAGCGACACTAAAAATGCACTGCTGTTGGCACGGGTTTTTCAAGACAAATTTCATCAATACGATTGTTCCGAAAAACTGTGCGCCCAAGGCCCAAGACCTGCCAAAGTTTCTGGCCCATGGGACATGCATAGCTTCATTGGCAGGGAGCGAGACTAAAAGAGCAGAGCTGTTGGCATGGATTTTTCAGGACAAATTCCATCAACACGATTGTCCCGAAAAACTGGCGCCAAAGACTTTTCAAACGGTGTCTAAACGCTGGGCAAAAGGACATGCAGGACATGCATGGGAAAAAGTTCTTTGCTAAAGTGGTTTTCATTTTGCCCGGCGTTCTGCCCGTCCATGCTTGGTTTTCGCTCCCTTTGGAGCGAAGCAACCTAAACGACAACCCAAGCATAGGATATGCATCAGCGTGAACGGACAGGTGGGGAAATAGCTTGGGACTGCTGGCACGGGTTTTGCACAGAGCAGCTTTTACACAGAGGAGCTTTACACAGAGAAGCTTTACACGGAGGATCTTTTACACAGAGAAGTTTGTACACAGTGAGGACTCTACACACAGAATCTTTTACACAGAGAAACTTTTACACAGGAAAGGTTTTACACACAGAAGCTTTTACACAGAGAAGTCTTTCTACAGAATAGTCTTGACACGGAGAAGCCTGCACACACACACACAGAGGCTTTTACACGGAGAAGCCTTTTACACAGAGCAGCTTTTTCACAGAGGAGCTTTTACACGGAAAAGCTTGTACACGCTGAGGCTTTGACACAGAGAAGTCCTTACACAGAGGAGCTTTTACACGGAGAGGCCTGTACACACAGAGGAGCTTTTACACACAGACACTTTTACACAAAGAAACTTTTACACATAGCAGCTTTTACACACAGAAACGGTTACGCACAGAGGAGCTTTACACACGGAAGCTTTTAGATACAGAAGCTTTTACTCGGGAAAGCCTTTGCACAGAGAAGCTCTTACACATAGAAGTTTTTACACAAAAAAGCGTTTACACAGAAACTTTTACGCACAGAAGCTTTTACACACAGACGCGTTTACACAGGAGTGTTTACACACGGATGCGTTTACGCACAGAAGCCTCCACGCACAGAAGCTTTTACGCAGAGTAGCTTTTACACAGAGAAGTCTTTACACAGAGAAGTCTTGACACAGACAGGCTTGTACACACAGAGGCTTTTACAGAGAGAAGGCTTTTGCACAGAGCAGTTTTTTCCACAGAGGAGCTTTTACACAGAGAAGTTCTTCTTCCATAAAGGAGATTTACACACAGAAACTTTTGCACACAGACGCGTTTACACAGGAAGTTTTACACACAGAAGCGTTTACGGCGCATTGAAACTTTTACACAAAGCAGCCTCGCACAGAAGCTTTTACACAAAAAAGCCTTTACACAGAGAAGTTTTTACACACAGAGGCTTTTGCACAAGGAAGCTTTTACACAAGGAAGCTTTTACACAGGAAAGCTTTTACACACAGAAGCTTTTACACAGAGAAACTTTTTCACCGAGAAGTCTGACACAGAGGAGCGTTTACGCACAGACGGGTTTACACAGATAAGTCTTTACACAGAGGAGTTTCTGCACACAAAAACGTAGACGCACAGGGGAGCTTTACACACAGAAGCTTTTACATGCAGAAGCTTCTGCACGGGAAAGCCTTTGCACAGAGAAGCTCTTACATACAGAAGCTTTTACACTCAGAAGTTTTTGCACAAAATGCCTTTAAACAGAAGCTGTGAGACACAGACGCGTTTACACAGAGGAGTCTTGACACAAGGACGCGTTTACACACAGAAGCTTTTTTTGCACAGAGTAGCTTTTACACAGAGAAGTCTTTACACAGAGAAGTCTTGACACAGAGAAGCTTGTACACACAGAGGCTTTTACAGAGAGCAGCCATTTATACAGAGAGGTCTTGACACACAGGAGCTTTTACACAGAGAAGTCCTTCTTACACAAAGGAGATTTACACACAGAAGCTTTTACACACAGACACGTTTACACACAGAAGGTTTTACAAATACAAGCTCTTACGGCGCACAGAAACTTTTACACAGAGCAGCTTTTACACAGAAGCTTTTACACAAAAAAGCCTTTACACAGAGAAGTTTTTACACAGGAGCTTTTGCACAAGGAAACTTTTACACAGGAAAGCTTTCACACACAGAAACTTTCACACAGAGAAGCTTTTTTCTTTCTCCATCTCTGGGGCTCTATTCAAAGGGGTGCTAATCAGAGTCCTTTTTGCTAACTTATCTTAATTTATCTTGTTTTATGATATTTTAAAATCGATGGAATTGGGCCCAATTTTTTCTATGAAAAAATATTTTTTCCTATGAAAAAAAATTCTTCGTTGTGAGGTGTGGGACAAGGTCGTTGCGCAGAAGGGTGCCCTGCCCCCTTCTAAAGTAGTATTGGAAGCAAAAAATCGGCCAAAAAAAAATTATGAAAAAATATTATTTTTTATTTATTTTTTATTTTTTCTATTTTTTTCTATTTGTTTTTATTTTTTTTAATTTTAAATTAAAATATGACCAATATTTTCCATTTCGGGCTACCTCAATGCATTTTGTTGCTTGTTCGTAGCCAAATTGCCTCTGACCTTTGCAAAGCTGAATAGCATCCCTTTGAATAGGGCCAGGGGGCCTTTGAATGATTTTTACACCGAGAAATCTTACCCAGAGGAGCTTTTACGCACAGAGGCATTTACACAGAGAAGCCTTTACACAGAGGAGCTTTTGCACACAGAAGCCTTTTACGCACAGAACCTTTTGGACAGAGTAGCTTTTACACAGAGAAGTCTTACACACAGAAGCTTTTACGCACAGACGCGATTACGCAGAGAAGTCTTGACACAGAGGAGATTTTGCGCACAGAATCTTGTACACACAGACGCGTTCACACACAGAAGGTTTTACAAACAGACAACTTCACGGCGCGCGGAACTTTTACATAGAGCAGCTTTTACGCAGCGAAGCTTGTACACGGGGGAGCCTTTGTACACAGAAGCTTTTACACAAAGACTTTTCTAATACACAGCTTTTACACACAGAAACTTTTACACACAGAAGCTTTTACACACAGAGCTTTTACACAGAGCTTTTACACAAAAAAGCCTTTACACAGGGGCACTTTTACACAGGGAAGCTTTTACACAGAGTAGTTTTTACACAGAGAAATCTTTACACAAAGAAGTCTTGACACGGAGAAGCTTGCACACACGGAGGCTTTTACACAGAGAAGCCTTTTGCACAGAGCAGTTTTTTCCACAGAGGAGCTTTTACACAGAGGAACTTTACACAGAGAAGCTTGTAAACTCAGAGGCTTTGCCACAGAGAAGATTTACTCAGAGGCTTTGCCACAGAGAAGTCTTTTACACAGAGAAACTTTTACTCACAGAAGCTTTTGCAAAAAAAACCCTCGACACAGAGGAGCTTTTACACACAGAAGCTGATACGCAAACAAAATTTCACAAACAGACACTTTTACACACGGAAGACGTTTACACAGAAGCTTTTACACACAGCAACTTTTACACAAAAATCCTTTACACAGAGAAGTTTTTACCCACAGAAGCTTTTACACACAGAAGCTTTTACGCAAAGAAACTTTTACACACAGAAGTTTTTCACCAAAGACACCTTTACACAGAGGAACTTGTACACAAAGAAACTTGTACGCACAGACGCGTTTACACACAGTAGCTTTCACGCATAGAAGCATTTGTACAGAGAAGTCTTTACCGATCTGTCATCATGTCTCATTTTTCATGATCATTCGCCATCTGTTATCTTCATATCTTCGTTTTCATGCTCTTTTGGTCAACTCCCTCCGTCGTTTAGTTTCATTTCGCACCGTGTTCTGTCCGTCCACGCTTCGTCCTCGCTCCCTCTGCGGCGAAGCAAACTGAACGAGAACTCAGGAATAAATAGCAACTAGAAAGATGGGATAGAGTTAATTACATTAGCAGAAACAGCGACGAGAAGAATGTAGACGTAGCTGACACAGCATGCTGTGGTGAATTGCGGCCCCTGATACCATCAGTGCGCACGATGTTTCGGTAAAGATCTTACATCGATTTCGTGCAAAGCGCAGCTGCCCACACCACAAGATTTAAAAAACGTGCTGTGTGCCGTCGTGCCTTGGGTTTCCTGGCCCACCTTGTTTTCCATTGATGTTCCCCCTTTCCTTCCTGGACCCAGGCGGCTGAAGGAGCACGATGGATGTCCGAGAAGGAGGAGGAGCTGGCCAAGGTCGAGGCGAAATTGGCGTCACTCTCGAAGCGAGTGGGGGTCTCCAAGGGATTGGGGTTCAAGCAGATGGAGATTGATCCATTGGTTGAATTAGGGTACGGGTAATGTGGGTAAAACAATAATAAACAACCCCACAAATCACCATAAATAGGTGGTGTAAAAAAAATTCAAATGGGTGGTTCGTTTTTGATATACCACCATTATATTAGGATTATGGGATTATGAATGATTTTGATCACCTCAAAGTAGTTGGAAACGATCCAACTAATTGTACATTCCCCTCATATTAAACGCCACCATAGGGGAGTTCCAGAATGCGGGTGTTTAGCATTAGGGAGATGGGATGAACACCATGACCTCATTTCTATAATCATATGGTATGGGAACTATGGGAAACTACGATGTCCAGTATCTTGAATGTTCTGAAAATCTTTGGATTTGGACATTGACGACATTGGTATCAAATGTCTGTTCCTTCTTCTGCTCAGTTGGTGCAGCCCCCAAGCCCCACCCCATTCTGATCAAGCTTTGCGGGTGCCCAGGTTGAAGCAAACTTCTCTGATGCAGAGACTTCACTTCAGCTGGCTGAGGTTGGGGATGTGAAGCGGTGTCCAAATTCTAAGCCCAAACTGCCTGAATTGCGGAAAAAACAAACTGCCTGGAGGGTTTCAACGATTTTTCATTTCCCCCTACTACTTGAGATGAATCCAAATGATCATTCTATCGTTGGTTGAAACAAACAGCGAGCAGTTCTGGAGGTGTCTGACTTCATCGAAACTCTGTTGCAAAGTGTTTGGGGCTCAGATTTTCTGCGCTATCGAAGCAGGTTGTTATTTTTTGCCGGTTGGCTTGCCGGTCGGCTAATGGATTTTGAGGTATCCTACTGTGGGATTCAGACAGGATTTCCAACATTGACAGGAGCAGAGCATGCTGCTGGCATTCTGAGGTCGACAGCGTGCGGGTGAATTCGATGAAGCTCCCCCTGATGCAGGAGCAAGGGAACCCAAGTGCCCAAGCGGGCCCAAGGCACCGATATAGAGACGATTCGCTGTAGCAGGCGGAGTTGTCAAGCTGGTGTGAGTTTGTTTGAGAATAGGGCATCCAAGGATGATCGGCATTTTCTTGACTGGAATTGCACATTTAGGGTATAATTGTACTATATCATGCTGTACCTATCTGTGCCCCATTTTGAGACCAACCCTGTATCTCGCTGTGTCTTGAGGCTCCAGGAACGCGCCACAAAAGCGAATGAACGCTATGACCCAAGAGCTGTTTCTTCCGCGTGTTTTTTCGATTCTATGTACTCCCCAGCCCGTGCCCGAAACGCGACTTGAAGCCAAAACGCCGTGGGAGCCATTAGCAACGGCAGCAGGAGGAGGAAAGGGGATGAGGATTTTTTTTCTGATCCACAGCTATCTTCAAGTTATTTTCTTTGAGCTCAGGCTTGCAGGAGCTACGCGAAACCATTCGCTTCTGATGCAAAAGTTGATCAAAAATGCTGCGCAGAAGCGATGTTGAGGGGTCTGCCTGTTTTTGAAGCATTCACAGTGGTATGAACAAAGTGGGAGAGCTTGAAGTGAGGAGTTGCAAGGAGAATGGTGATGTTCTGAAATGATTGATTTGCAAATGTTTCGATGTTGTTGGATTGCCAGCTTTCGCATGCTCTTGGCCATTCAGTCTCTCGGATATGTTGGATATGTTGGCGCTGTTCTCTTGGAACCGTTTGCACGAATTGATTGACAGCTCACAATCTGTGGTGGCTGAATGGCGGCTCAAGTTTCACAATCCGTTTAGCGTTGAAGTCCACCTGTTGATTGAATCCAGATGCGGTTTGCTTAGTTTTACTCGTCCATGTTTAGCTAAAGGCTGGCACGGACATCATCACCAGCATATTTGCTCCAGACATGTTTTTTTCATCTCACTTCGGCACAGCATCATCTTCCTTCGCATTCCCTAGCCCATTCAATTTTCCAAAACTCTCCAACCATCGGATCCTAACACCTATGAATTCTCCTTAGAATTCCAGGGATATCTGCAGTATCCTCAGTATCCTTAGAATTCTCCTTCTCCATCCCCATTCCCAGGAGCCGCCCCGTGCGCCATGTCCGCCATGTCGTTGAGCTCACCCCAGCGGTTGCGGCTAACCTCTGCCCAGCGCTTGGGGCCTATGGAGGTGGACCTGGAGCGCGAGCACGGCGGCCCGGAACGGGGGAACTGTCCCCCTGGGGATGGGGCAAAACTTAACAAAGATCATGTGGATAAAACAATGTCATTTTAAACTTTAAACCACCCATTTGGGAGTGGTCAACATACCACCTACTGTATAAAAATGGTGATGGGATGGTTGATGGCATTGTTTTACCCACATTAGTTCGAAAGAGATGTGGTTGATGTTGAACTCATCCGCCAGTTTGATATAGTTTGATTGTGGGGGGGAAAAACCTGGGCCACAGGGAGAGAAGCTGGTGATTTGTCGGGTTTTCGCGCCATGAGTGGATATATAATATAATGCGGGAACATCTGTGAAGGTGGATTAAAGTTGGAAGATTCGGGCCTTCAACGCTTTGTAGGGCCAGTAGGGTCAGTAGGGTCTCTCAGCTTGAGGCCGGTACCCAAAAGGCGGAACACTTAGCTCCAGATCGTTGATTATACACAGCATATTGCTGGTCAAGCCGCGTCATGCCTAAGGACCCTGTCGCCTAGAGAGAAGATGCTGGTGCACGTGATGGACACCTTTGGGCTGGGATCAAAACAGCCCGAACCTGGATGAACATCGCCCAAAAAGAGAAAACAAGATAGTCCAAGTCTGGATTTTTGATGTCACACAGACGCACCTTTAAATCTATACATGTACACACACACAATTTTCATAATCATACATATCCAGGATATCCATATGATCCATCCCGGTGAGCCAAAGACGACCGATTTTGTTTTGGTTCACCATGACCACCCACGTGGCCTTTTGCGCAGGACCGCCTGGCGGGAATTGATGTGCAACGGACCTTTGACCTGGATGGGAGTGGTTTCGTAAGCACCGCGGTGCTGAGGTCGCGGTGGATGTGCGGGGTGTGGCTTGGAAGCTGAAACGAGTCGTTTCAACAGTGGGGCATAGGGCATAGGTCAAAACTTATAAAATTACCATATTTGGGGAATAGACATCTATTAACCAGCTATTTCAAGGTACCTAGAGACCATATGGTAATTTAACAGTGTGAAGTGGAACATGACCCACGGAAGTAGATGATTCAAGATGATGTGCCTAACAAAAACATGGCCATTGTCCATAGCTATGTGAGATTGCTTGGTAAGAAAGCTATAGTCTGGTTATTTTGAAGGCTTCAGGGTAGCCTTTTTCGAAAGCTGCGGGGTAACAGAACCCGACCTGGGTTTTGCTGAACCTGATCACTCGGAGCTAAGGTCATGCAGCTACCAATTCATGCAACGTGGGTTCATCAAATAGCAGGGGCATATACTACCGGATGCCACAAAACCATCAAGACCCGAATGGTTTAGAATCTTCAGAACATTTTAGAACATCATTTTCGAAAACTATTGAATGGCAAAAAAAGAGAGAAGATGAGCTAAAGCAGCTAGAGGCAGAACTCAAGAAACAATACTAGTTCCAAAAGACATAGTGGCTGTTAAATAGTCATAAGGCGAGCGTGACTCCACCAATTTCTGTATCAATTGCAGGCGATCCTTGATCACCTTCGACCCGCAAGTCTTCACGGCTCCTCTGCTGAATGATTTTTGGGTCCTGGTGGCTGAGGAGGTTTCCATGACAACAACTCTACCGGGTGGAGTTCGTCAACTTCCTTTTGACTTCCTGCCCAATCAGAGGCCAAAATGGCCACCAAATCATGGGATCCATGGGATCCATGGTTTGACCAAGGAGGAATGCATCGACCTGCTCTTTAGCCGGCACCTGTCCCGCCCCTGCGGCCGTTGCGGTTTTCTGACCTACGCTGAACAGCTGGTGCGATGGGCGGTTTGGGACACCTGTGGATGGTGAAATCTGCACCCTTTGGTCTGCACGACAATAGAACATCAATGAGCATCTCAATTTTCAGGCTATTGTTGTTTCCATATTGTTTCCATTGCCGAATGCCAGGCAAGAGTAGCTGTCATCACCTTGGTGTTGGCCTGTAGGTGCACATCCACGATGTTTTCGGACCGTTTTGGCAGCCCTTTTGCCGACGCCTGCAACACCTAGAGGAGGGTGGTTGATGATTGGTAGGTCTTCTTTATGCCTTCCTATGACTTCTGGGAAGTGTTGATGTTGATGATGGTGATGATAGTGATGTGGCGAGAATAATGATCATGATGGTGATGGTGATGATGATGATGATGAGGATGAGGATGAGGATGAGGATGCCAATGATTTGATAAGAGAACACCTGCATACTACTTGCATCCAAATGGGCAAGCATTCCCAGCAATGTGCCATCACTCACCGCGTTTGGTACGGTTCGCAGGAGAAGGTGGCTCAGACCAAACGCAATGCGCAGAGGCCAATCATTTTCATTTTGACATTGGTTGACTTCCTTTTTGAAGGTCGAATGCAAGCCATGACAAATTTGTGGGTCCGGTTGGTACCCTGTGTCGATTCGGCAGCGGACTTTCCATGTTTGCAGAATTTTGGGAGGAAAGAAAATGAAAGAAAACCCATCGAAAGACGGGTGGGCAGTCCTTTAATGGATGAACGCGCGATGAAATGAACATTGTAAACAAATTTCGCTGGGTGCATGGCACTTTCCACCATTTTTCCACCCCGAAACATTTCCAGGCCCCCAATCAACTGGTTAATCATGATGGTTCGCATGAGAAATTGATCAGCAGACAAAAACAGATAATCAAACCGTAGTATGTAGAATGTAGATAAGCTATGATAAGCTGAGGTTCTCTCCCTAACTTTTGGTGTTTTCTCACCTGGGTGGATCAATAGCCACATCCCATCCATTTCGCAGGCGCCAGGTGGAGCTCTCGCAGATGGCGCAGGATGCGGCCGAGGCGTTGCACAGGGCGCAGCAGGAGCTTCAGCAGCCGCAGCTTGGACCAATGGAATGGGGTTTTTCCCAAGTCATGCAGGGTACCCTTTGGTAATTCAACATTTTGCTTTGAAAATGGACTATATATATATTTTTTTTAAAAACATATATATATAGTCCATATAGTGATTTACTTATTCAAATGGTGATTTTCCATATGTTAGTTTACCAGAGGATACCTGGTAGCATCCGGCTAGATATATAAACCATGAAAGCAACCAGCAACCAACATGGGATTTTTCTTTGAAATTGGGTGTGCCCCAGGAATTGCAATTTTAATGGTACAATTTAATGATAAGCCATTGGATATATATATATATATACATAGGGGTGCCCTATTTTCAGACAAACTCATTTTTAGTTCGATGTTGCCCGGTATTTCATGGTGATTTTAGTAATATGGGGATCACTGGTTCCCAGTCATTTCCAGTCTATGATGGTGATTTGACGCACCATTGTTTTTTTTTTGATGTGTATGTAATCCACTGATGTTTGTTGAAATATATAGGTCACGTGTGACATTTTCTTATTTGTGCAGTGAAGTGCATGAAAGCATCTTCAAACGAACGCCTTTTCCTTCTCAAGTGGTGGGAGGGCGGGTTTCCCTCGTTGTGATTCTTCGATTTGTGCCATGGGACTTAGGGCTGTTGCAGATTTGGAGGAATATACAATTGCAGAGCTGGTTGAGTTGATTGACAAAGCATCAACTGTGTTGCGTCAGAAGGTTGCTGATTCAGGTGCATCCAGTTCTGCCTCAGTTGTTAGCTTCAGTGTCGTTGAAGAGGAACCTGAAGGTTTTTCGACTGCAGCGGCTACTAAGGACCCAGCTGGTGATTTGAAATCACCATTTGAATGTGAGTATCATTGCAAGTTTTGTTTCAATCGTTGCTGCCGACCCATCCATGCACACAAGAACCATGCCTGTCTTGAACATCGCCACAGAAGGTGAGCAAGCTGAAGAAGCAAGTTCTGATGCAGGCGATTCTGGCTTGAAGGGTTACAGGAAGAGATGGACGGAGCGCAGCGCTCCAGGGCAGCGCCATGAAAGGAGTTTTTCTGAAGTTGGCAGTGATTTCAATGCAGACGCTGACAGTGCAATGCGTTTGATGAAACAACAGAAACTGCATGAGTTTGACAGAGCTGTTGAAATCATTGACAAGACTTCAGATGATTTGGCTGATGACAAACCTTTGTCAAGTAGTTCATCAGCGGCTGTGAACCATCGACAAGAGCGGCAGGCGTTACAGAACACGGACATGAAGGTTTTCAAATTTCCATGGGAACATGGTAGACTTGCTAAGATTTTTGGTGACAAGCCTTTGGTTTCTGTGAAAACGCCACAATTGAAGATGGGGCCAAACAACTGCTTGCGTATGGGTTTGAGTGTCTCTGAATCCGGGAGTCTGGAGGCGAAACCTGTTTTGAAACAAGAGGATGCAGCTTCATCGCATGCCATTTTTCTTGATGTGGTCAAAGCCATTGTTGACAAGTCTGAGTTGGAGGACCGTGATGCAAAGCGACAGAAAGCTTTGGAGGCCTGGTAGAAACTTCTTTCACACAGTTTGGTATCGAGCTCTATTGGACTCAAGGTGACTGTGGAATCAACTGCAGATACAGTGCATAGCTGTGCACTGGAAATTTTGGATGCCACCTTCGCTGTCAAAAGCGCGGGGACGTTGTTTCGTCGCTTATATGCTATCCAAGCATACGAAGATTGGTGCGTTGAGCATCGAGACAAACACTGGATACCTGTGATCGAATACGACGTATGGACATACGTAAGGTGGTTGCAGAAGACTGACGCCCCAGCCACCAAGGCAGGGAGCTTGGTGGAAGCTTTGAGATTTTCCTGGTATTTACTTGGAGTGGAAGGTTCGAACCTTGCTGAATCCAGTCTCAGAATCAAAGGAGTGTCCTCACAGATGCGCTCCAGTAAGAAACCGTGGCGACCGGCGGATTTGCTGACAGTGACTGAAGTGAAGGCCTTGCACGAGATCCTCAATGATCATGCCCGACCTCTTGGAGACCGAGTCCTAGCAGGCCATGCGCTCCACCTGCTATATAGCAGGAGTAGATGGAGCGATTTGCTTTTGGTAAGTGGTATGTACATGGATCCAGAGGAGCACTTTTTGGAGGTGGCCACGAAAGCTCATAAAGGTGCAAGATCAGCTGAAATGAAGACAAAGCTTCTTCCTATCGTTGCACCGGCTTTTGGAGTGGACAACAAAAACTGGGCTGTGGTTTACCTGGAAGTTCGTAGGGAGTGCAATTTGTCACTGCCTCTGGATGGATACGGGCCCATGATGTGTGCTCCTAGCAATGCAGCCGCAACGTGCTGGTCAAAGAGGGCGCTTACCTCGGAAGAGGGTTCAGACTTTCTGCGCAAAGCATTGGGAGCTCCAAAGACTTCTGAGAGAAGAATTTCGACGCACTCACTGAAATCAACTGCCATGTCTTGGGCGTCGAAGTATGGGCTGTCAGAATATACTCGTGCAGTTTTGGCACGCCACACTTCAAAGGCTGCAACGGCGACAGCAGTTTACTCTCGGGATCTTTTGTCCCCAATTCTCAGAGAGCTCAATCTGGTGCTGGCTGCAATTCGAAATGGAAGTCTCAATCCCGATTCAACCCGATCGGGTATGCTCACCCCAGGGGCATTGCCTTACCTTGGAGGCACCCCATTACCTGAGGCTGGGTTGCCCATTGCGACCACTCCAGTGCCCTCAGGTGACAAAAGACTGCCTGAGAGGCCTCAGGAAGCAGCCAGCAGCCCTGGCAGCGATTGGTCTTTGGCCCAGCGCAATGCCGAGGACATGCATTTGTTTGGAGGTGCCTCTGGATGCTCGCCTTCCGAAGTTGCACAGTCTGGCTTGGAAGATGTGCTGACTGACACCACTGAGGAAAACAGTCAGCAAAGCACTTCTTCAAGTGAATGTGAGGACGATGAGAGAGAGCAGCACAGAGACCTGCTGAATCGAGAGTCTGACTATGTCATTAACCAGCACTCTCTTGTGGTTCATTTGGTCCGGACACAGGGCATTTTGCAATGTGGCCGAAAGCTTACTCCGTCCTATGTCAAGGTGTATGAACTCAATGGCATCCGGTGTTCGAGATGCTTTGATGTGTAGGCGACCGAGCTTGCGCTTGTGGAAAAGAAATAGCTGCGTGTGAATTCGCGAGCTTGAAACTTGGTTTTCTTTTGGCATTTGTCAGCATATCACAAGCTTGGCAGTTTGTGTTGTTTGATGAAAGTGTGCTGTTGATACAGCATTTGGAAGCTGCTTGATAGCAGCTGGTGTGCTGAGACACACCTGTTTTGGACTGAAGTCCAATACATGTTGACACATGTATGTGTGGCAGTTTCAAACGCTCAAGGCGTTAAAAAAAAAACAAAAATATTTTGAATTTAAGTTTGATAACTTCAATGGTAATTTTCTCACAGCCTCAACTCCTTTGTCTACGATGAAACGTCATGGAAAACAAGACAGAGACTCAAGTTTGTAGTAGCACCGCGACTCTGGTGACATGGCTTCACTGTCGGACAGCAAGGCACATTTCCTTGCCAGAGCTAAGGAGTATGAGGTGCCAGATGATTTGATCAACAACATGCGAGTAGCAGGAGTGTCAACCCTTGGACACTTAGCGTTTGCTTTCCTGAGGCCAGGTCAAGACTTTGAAGAGCGTCAGTTTAATGAGTGGGCTACTACTATCAATTTAGGCAATGCACCGTCCATGGGAGCTCTTGCATCTTTGCGTCGTTTGCATTTTGAAGCCGAGATTGTTTTAACTGCGACCTTGAAGGCATCTGTAGAACAACCACAGGACTTGAGCACACCAAAACCAATGCCTCATGCAGAGAGGTCAGCAAGGCTTGAACAAATCAAAAGGCAATTCCCAGGACCTTCAATGGATGGTATGCATGAGCCCTCTCAAGCTTTGCTGGATGAATGCACTCACCAATATGATGCGAGGGCCATACGTTACATTGAACCTGCAAAGTGCAATTCACGTGAAATGGAGGTTGCCATGGGTAAGTCAGATCGAAAGCTTCGCATTGAGTCGAATTCCTTGACTGTGAAAGAGTCGAAAAGCACTCCTGAAGAAGATGTTTCGTCAGCATACAAACTTCAGATGTGCCTGAAACGCAGAGCGATTGCATATGAATTCTCTGGCTTGCTGTCTTTTGAGGTCCATGAGAAATACATTGATAAGCTGATGCGTCGCCTCAACACAGAGCCGCCACCTCATTATTTGGCGACTTCTTTGAGCCAGATTCTCAAAGCTGATAGAGAGGTTTGGATTTACATGGCACAGCATGTTTCAGACATAAGACCGAGAGCAGATGGTAGCCGTCCTTTAGATGCAGCACTACATGAAGCCTTAGCTGATTATAATGTAACCTTTCACCTTTTGCCCTTGCCTGCAGCTTCCAACAGCAGCTATGCACCGGTACGCAATAAAGATGATGCCCCCAGAGAGTCCAATTACAAAGGTTTCCAGCAAGGACGGAAAGGCAAAGGAAAGAACAAGGGGCAAGGGCAGGGTTCCAGTGTTGCTCCACGTGGTGTAAAAGGTGCAGTCGGTCGAGATCCAAAAGGACGTGCAATATGCTTCAATTATAACCTATCAGAATGCCAAGATGCTCCAGCGGGAGGTACCTGCAAGAGAGGGAGGCACGTATGCTTCAAAGCGCATTGTTTCAAGCCACATCCATTTGCTACTGCACATGCCGAAGAACTCCCGAAGCCCAACTGACTCTCAGGTGTAGATTTGAGTGGTTTCACAGTAGATGATATTATCATCATCGAAATCTTTTGTGGCACGGCAGGAGTTACTGCGAGCTTTAAGAGACATGGTTTCTCCAATGCGATTGCGGTTGACAAGATGAAACAAGCTGGCATGTTGGCAGGGGTTATTTCTTTGGATTTGACTTCACTGGCAGATCAACTTTTAATTTTGCAATGGCTTGAGCATCCGTGCGTGCATGCGGTTTTCTTAGCACCACCATGCGGAACTGCAAGTGCTGCTAGGTTTATTGAATTGCCCAATGAAAAGGCACCTAGGCCTTTAAGGACTCCTGAGGAGCCAGACGGAGTTGCAGACCTTGAAGGGGTCGAACTTGAGCGTGTCAGTGCGGCAAACATTTTATATGCCTTTGCTGTAGAGGTTTTGGAAAAATGCTGTCAATTGAAGATTCTTTGTATGATCGAAAATCCCAGAAATAGCCTCTTCTGGTTTGTCACTGTTTGGATTGAATGCCGTGTCCTGGACGAGCTGTTTTACCAAGATCACCAAGCATGCATGTACGGCTCAAAGCGTCCAAAATATACTCGTTTATGTGCCAATTTTGAGCAAGTGCATACAATTTCTGCTTTATGTGACGGAACGCATGAGCATGAACCTTGGGGCGTCATCAGGCAGGGTAACAAGAGGACTTTTGCCACATCACTTGAAGCCCACTACCCACGTGCTCTTTGTGACGCCATCGTCCAGGCCTTTCTGTTAAAGTTTGCTGAGCTGAACCTGCAAGTGAATTCTAACAAGCCTGCATTGCACCATGCAGCCAAAGCCCTGACTGGAAGCCAATCCATTTCCATGAAGCTTCCTCCACTTGTACCAGCGTTCAAGCACCGATATGTTGTTTTCTTCCTCCAAAAACAGCCTGTATGGCCCCATTACTATGGCCATACCATCAGACCACAAGTGCCTCCACGAAGTAAATCTTGGGGGAGAGATCAGCGTGGAGGAAAGGCAGTATCGGAAAAAGAGGATTTTGGAAGAATTGGATATATGGAAAGTTGACTTCGCATGGGAAAGTTTCGTTGCTTTTGAATGTGTTTTTGATAGTTTCAAAATTTTTGGAGTACAATGGGAACCAACGGAGTTCGTTGCCGAAGCCTTGCGTGTGACTCACCCAATGGACAGTGTCAAAGCTCTTCCAGACGAACTGAGGTTTGCTGTTGGACGGAACGCCAGCCTGTCTCCTGTAGAGATTGCACGCAAAAGAGCAGACTTTTTCATTTACTGGCACCAAAGAGCTCGAGAGCTTAAGTCGAAAGAAGATGAAATCCGAGCTTCCATGGACCCGGTAGTCAGCCATGCTGTAGAACGTAAAAGGCTTGCCTTGTTTGCAGAGATGTTGGAATTCTATAAATACCCTGATAAGGACGTCATCGATGAACTGGTTAAAGGAGCCTCCTTGGTGGGTGAAGTTGCAATCACCAACATGTTGCCAGTCAAGTTCACTCCAGCCCTCTTGACAGAGAGTTCTTTGAGAAGACAATCGGCGATGCGAAGGCCACAAATTGAGAGAGATTGCAAAAGCTCGGGTGATCCAGAAGTTGATTTGGAAGTCTGGCAACAGACAATGCAAGAATGCGAGAAAGGTTGGTTGGCCGGTCCTTTTCCTGCAAGCGAAGTCCCATTGGATGCTCCAGTGTCTAAGCGCTTTGGCCTCAAGCAGAAACATAAAGTAAGATTAATTGATGATTTTTCTGAGTCTTCTGTAAACCAGACTGTGACTGTACATGAGTCGCCGACATTACACACGGTTGACGTTGCAGCAGCTTCTCTTGCCTATTGGTTTCAATGTAAAGAGGCTTCAAAGGGTGCCACCTCCCTTCATGTCAGGACTTTTGATTTGTCCAGTGCCTATAGGCAAATTGCCCTTTGCGCGGAAGGTCGAAAGTATGCGTACATCCGTGTTTTCAATCCCAACACCAAACAATGGTCGTACTTTCAAGCTCTCGTTTTGCCGTTTGGAGCAGTAAAGAGTGTACATTCGTTCCTAAGGCTTGCAAGGTCCATTTGGTGGCTTGGATCAGTAGCCTGTTTGCTTATGTGGACCTCTTTCTACGATGATTACATCGTTTTCAGCTCCCCTGAACTAGCGAGGAGCTCAGAGATGACAGCAGCTGCGCTGTTCGAATTGCTTGGATGGGATTTCGCCAAGGAGGGAAGGAAATGTGTTCCATTTGGAACTTCTTGTGAAGCTTTGGGCGTTGTCTTTAATTTGGAAAACACTGCAGATGGCCTGGCACACATTTCCAACACTGCCTCCAGGGTCGAAGAGATTGTTGCTGAAATCTTCAAGGTGGTTACAGAAGGTGGAATTACTCTTACGGCTGCACAGAAACTCCGCGGTCGCATGCAGTTTGCAGAAGCCCAGTTATACGGGCGTACAGGAAAGAGATGTTTGCGTGCTCTAAGGGATGCTTGCTGCCGCAAGAGAACCAAGTTTCAGAACCATGAGATTCACTCCCTCAAGCTGTTTTCTAAAATGCTCGAGTTGGGCAGACCACGAGTCATTTCCTGGGACAAGAGAAATTCAGTGGTGATTTTCACCGATGCTTGCTATGAAAGAGATGCCAAAGATCTCGTATGTGGACTTGGTGCAGTACTTTATGATGAATTTACTGGAAATTACAGATTCTTCTCATGTGCGCTCGACGAGGAACAGCGAGCGATGTTGGGAGAACGTAGCAAGAAACAGATCATCTTCGAAGCGGAGACCTTTTGTGCAGTGCTAGCATATCTGGTATGGTCTGACCACTTGAATCTTAGGAACAGCTTTCTTTATGTTGACAATGAAGGTACCAAGTATTGCTTGATGAAAGGTGCTTCTGACAATGAAATGGTCGATGCAATATGTGCCGTTTTTGCTGAACTTGAAATGTGGTTGCAAGCAAATTGCTGGCTTGCACGTGTTGCCTCCTTTTCAAATATTGCCGATAAACCTTCAAGAGGAGATACCAAAGAATTACTTGACAGCAATTTTTCAGATGACTCTACTTTAGCTTTTCAAAAGCTTGTGCAACTGATGACATTCATAAAGGAAAAGCTGGGGAGACGAGCTGAATGCATCGTTGCAACCCCCAGTTGAAAATAGTGTGAGCGCCAGCCTTGCTTCAGCCGTGAGTGTCGAGCAGAAATAAATATAGGTCACGTGTGACATTTTCTTATTTGTGCAGTGAAGTGCATGAAAGCATCTTCAAACGAACGCCTTTTCCTTCTCAAGTGGTGGGAGGGCGGGTTTCCCTCGTTGTGATTCTTCGATTTGCCCACCATTCCCTCAGCCAGACGAGCTGAATGCATCGTTGCAACCCCCAGTTGAAAATAGTGTGAGCGCCAGCCTTGCTTCAGCCGTGAGTGTCGAGCAGAAATAAAGTTTTTTTCTCTCTGATACTTATTATTATTGTGATTATCGTTATTATGTTTGAATTGCAGGCGCGCCCTGGGAGTTTACAAAATGATAATAAATAGCAAGAAATAGGATTGACCTTCAAACAAATAGGAAAAATGAGCGGACAAAACCCGTGATTTTGACATCGAGTTTTTTTCCCTATTGGTTTTCCAATGTTTTTCCTATTATTCCTAATTGTCCCAACTTTTTCTGATTTAGTGTTTCCGATTTTTTTTTCTAACTTGTTCTGTCATTTGCTCCATGTTTTTGCAATTTTTCACTTTTCCAGGAAATTAGGAAAACCACGGGGCAAACTATAGGTAGTAAATGGAGGTGGTTATTCCAAAATTTGGCGATTTTTTTTTGTGGAAATCGAGAACGTTAGGTAAGCAAACTAGGAAAAATAGAAAACTAGGAAAACAACAGGAACACCAACAGGAAAAAATAGGAAAAACATAGGAGGTCAAAATCACGCGTTTTTGTCCGCTCATTTTCCTTATATTTTTTTGGAGGTAAATCCTATGTTTTGTAATGTTTTTCCATCATTTTATTATTTCCTTGATTTCCAATGGGTGCCTGGAATAGGCAAAGATAATATTATTAGCGTTGTTATTATTATTGTTATTATATTGTTACTGTTAGGTACTATTATTGCTAATATATTGCAGTATTGCTATTACTATTATTATTACTACTATTATTTGGGTTTCCTACATAAGACATTAAAATGAAAACATTAAACACATCTTCAAATTCACCATATCAGGGGTGGTTATCAACTATCAGCAGGATTTCGACCTTCGACCCCAAAATGGTTCTTATTAGATATTGTTAGCTGTCTTTCCCGTAGTGGTTTGGCCATGTTCAAATCAATTTATATGGAGGTTTCCTGAGATGGGGGTGCCCCCAAGTATCCATTTTAACAGGATTTTCCATTATAAACCATCCGTTTTTGGGATCTTCCAAATAGCAATGGGGGGCAACTGAGAGTTGTTATTTGGCCACGAACGTTTTCAGGTTGTTGCTGGAGCTGAAGACACGCCTTGAAGAAAGCGAACAGGAGAGGTGCTTCGGCCGCATCGAAGTGACTCGAATTCTGGGTGAATCTTCAAAGGTCGATCTCCAATTCATGGGGATCTAGCATGATCTAACCAGCCCCGCCTTTTAGATGATTTTCCCAATGGGTGGTTGTTAGATTCGCCATTGTGAAGCTGGTTGTTGCAGCTGGCTTAGGTCATCCCGTAAGAGATTGGTCTACTGAACCACCAAAGGGGCTGATATCACCCATGTTGGTTCTGCCATTGGGCATGGTCTATCAGCTTTACCACAGCGGTAAATGGCCACTGTTCAAAGAATGATAGGACTGTAATTCCAACCCCCTAATATTGAACACCCCCAAGAAACAATGATTAATAAGGGATTTGAACATATTTGGGGCCATTTATGGAGTGTTTTATATAAGAGGAGTGAGGGATGAGATTTCATTCAATGTATGTGTATGGATCACTATCTATTTTCCCATATTTGGCTGGGACGAACATCCATTTGCCAGCTGTTTTTGCGGGCTCATCAGAGTGCCAACCCTTTGACAACTAGCCTTAAATAGCCATATCGCAAGCAACCCCCCAAAAGATGGACAAGTAAACGTACATTGAAATAAAGGCAAATTACATATTTTCATCATTTTTTAGCGTTACGACGTAATTATAAAATATATTATAAATATATATATGTATATTATATATTAAATATTATATATATTATATATGATATAATATATATATATATATTATATTATATATAGTATATATAAATTGTGTACATTGTAAATTATATAAATTATATTAAATATATAATATTTTATATATTATACATTATACATTATATATTTAATATTATATAAATTATCTAAATTATATATTAAATATATTATATATATTATATATTACATATATTATATATATTATATATATTATATATATTATATATAGTATATATATTATATATATTATATATATAATATATATTATATATAGTATATATATTATATATATTATATATATAATATATATTATATATATTATATATTATATATTATATATATTATATAATTTATTATATATATATTATATAAATTATATATATATTATATATTATATATTATATATTATATATTATATATTATATATATTATATACATTATATATATAATATATATATATAATATATGTTATATATTATTTTTGATATATCATATATTATATATTATGTATTATATAACATATATTATATATTAAATATTTTCAATATATATATATATTATATTATATTATATGTATATTGTATTTGTATATATTTTATATTAATATTATATATATATATATATTAAATATATTTTGTACATTTAGTGTGTGTATGTATGTATAGATATATATGTATATATATTGTATAATATATATGGTGGTTTCCTAAAATGGGGGTACCCCCAAATCACCCAATTCATAGTAGGATTTTCCATGAAATAAATTATCTAGCCATTGAGATACCTCCGTTTATGGAACCCCCCTCCAATTTAACACAGCTATTGAAAATTGCCCATTTCGAGTCGACTTATCTAGTAAACATTTTAAACATGGCAATTTTCCATAACTATGTTAGTTTACCAGAGGGTAAATCCCATCAAAAAAACCAATTAACATATCATTAAAATATCATTAAAGTCCCATTAAATCCGTATAAATCTGGGTATTTTTGCTGTTGATTGGGGTTCCGCAATTTTTTTTCTAGCCGAGGACGAGGCTCGCGGAGCGCCTATGGTGGGCCGACAAGGCCTGGTTTAGGTGATGGTTTCGGTGTGGGTAAAAATGACACATCAATTTTTCGTACGAAGTAGAGAGAGAGAGAGATGATAGATAGATAGATAGATAGATGGATGGATGGATGGATGGATGGATGGATGGATAGATAGATAGATAGATAGATGTATATATATATACACACACGCATATATATATATATATATCTATATGCACACATATTTGTAAACTACATCCATATTTTTCTGAAATCTGGCAGCCCAACAGAGAAATCACTTCACAACAGATCAGACCTCAGGACTTGGCTCAGCAGCTGCAAGCGGCTTCCGAGCAGAGCCGTCAGGGCCTAGAAGCTGAGCGACGGAAGTGCTCCTCGCGCCTGGAACAGGCGCCGAGATTCGGCTTGTGGGGTGCGGAGGGTTGCGAGAGGTGCGGAAAGTCGGGAGGTTTTGAGGATGTTTTTACAATGATTTTCTAGTTTTTTGGTGGTTTTGGTTTAGATTTTTGGTAATTATTCTTGTTGGTTTTGTCCATATTCTTGTGATTTTTATCCTTGCAAATTGGCATGGAAATAGCAGCGTTCACATCCTCCAGCAACTTCAAAGAGAGGTCACTAATTATATACTTTGAGTGTTGTAGGATGGTGTGCACAGACGCAGCAGTTCCAGCTCATTCAACAATAAGGCAAGGCGCCAGCATCATGAACCTCTCTTGATGCAGACACTTCTTGTTCTCGCGGACTTGCAATACATGTCATGGTTGGTCATTGTGGCCATGATAGCCATAAGATTCTTATCTCCGGGGTCAGTCATGGGGTCCTCATCACCTGATTTGTTTGCCCCCCTTGCCTTGAATGGGCGCTTGCGTTCCCAAAGTCTCAGCTATGGCTGATGTTGCTGCAAAGACCAGTGGACCTCGGATGCCGGCTGCTGCTTTGCCGACGACCAGCCAAACCCCGTTTTCCAAAGGTGCTAAGTACAGTGGACTTGGACGGTTGGTGACCTCTTGAGCACTAGGGAAATGACGAGGATCGTTTACTGGTGCTGGTTTTTCACAAACTGAATTGCCAAACAACTTTGGCGCCCCAAAAAAAAACCGGCATTTTCCGAGTGCTGAAACCGCAGTCTGTGCCGTTTTCAGCCAAGGTTTACATTAATCATGGCGGCGGCCCCCTGCCCTTGCTGGGGAAGCAGCCAGGTATTGCCGAATTTCTTGGAAGCTATGCGGGGACACTGCCGCGCAAACCCACTGCAATACTGGTAGTGACTGCCCATTGGGAGACAGGGTCGCAACTCAAAGTCTCTGGTGGAAAGGCTCATTCGCTCTACTTTGACTATGGTGGCTTTCCCAAGGCGACAAAGCATATCTTTGGGGGGAGTTATATAGGGGGCATAAACAAATATTGCGTAAGCATCAAGACTTTAGCCTTAAGTCTTCTCATGTCTAAGACATTCCATATCATCCGCGTTTCTTTTTCAATTTTTCCAGTCTCCGACCAGGAAAGCTACGAATACACCTATCCGGCACCTGGAAGCCCGGAACTGGCGAATCGTATCATCTCCCTCCTGGCAGAGAAAGGTTTGAGATGCACCGCAGATGCTTCCAGGGGTTGGGACCATGGCGTTTTCGTTCCGCTGATGCTGATGTTTCCGGAGGCATCAGTACCCGTAGTGTCCATGTCCCTTTACAGCAGCCAGGATGCCTCTCAGCATATGGAAGCCGGTGAAGCCTTGCAAGGTTTGCGAGATGAAGGAGTTCTGATTGTTGGGTCAGGAGCATCCTTTCACAACTTTGGATATTTCTTTGTGTCTTGGTGCAACTGGCTGGTTATTTCAGCGTTCTGCATTCTTTGCATTTCTTTGGGACTTGATTTTCATGGTTTGGCCAGATACTGGCTGGGAATGGCGAAGAATATAGCGAGTTCTGCAGGCCAGAGACGCAGCTGTCAGAAGCAAAGGCGTGAAGCACTCACAGCTCTTTCACAGTTGGCTCGCAGAAACTGTGCAGTCAGAGAGTGTTAGCCCAGAGGCGTGGGGTGCCATTCAGTCCCGTCTTGCCTCATTTTTTATCCTGAGATATCATGATTTCATAGGGGCACCAACCAGTGAACCAGGGGAGGCTACCAATCATATTTACGATTTTGGGTGGTTTTATTCTTGTTCCTATTGGTCATGACCTTGTTACGTTTATTTTGTAATTCATTTTTATTTAAAAATCAATCCATCTCCTCCCACTTTAATCCCTTCCCCCTGATATATCCCATACCCACCACAACCTCCCTGATTTAGGTTGCTGAACCCGTTAATTTTAGAGGACAAATTTAGCATTCCATTGCCTGTATGTCTCCCCGTTTCAGGATAGTTTAAGCATGTTAAATCCCCACGTTTGATGTTTTTTTCCCTCATCGTTAGCGGATATTACACCACCGACATTGGAGACAATTCATCATTGGCATACATTGGCCATATAGAAATATATCCACACTTCATACTTATATAGGGGTTTACTTTACAAACCCAACCGTGGTTGCTATATTCTACCCCTGTGAAGCCCCAAGTTTTGATGGTTTCACCATGTTCAACCCACTAACCCAACATTTTCACCACCTTCCGTTGCGCCCCCGTTGCGCACGGCCAGGAGCGCAAGCGCCGTTGTGGCGCCTGGGCGGAGGCGCCCGGGGCCCGGGAGGCGCAACCGCAGGGACAGGCGGAGCATCTGATGCCGCTCTTCGTGCTGCTGGGCGCTGCACCTTGGAAAGTCTGTGGAAAGATGTGGAAAGTATATTTTTTCGATATATATATATATATATGCGTGTGTGTGTACGCTATTTATGTTGCTGTTGTTGTTGTTGTGGTTGTGGTTGTGGTTGTCGTTGTCGTTGTGGTTGTGGTTGTGGTTGTTGTTGTGGTTGTTGTTGTGGTTGTTGTGGTTGTTGTGGTTGTTGTGGTTGTTGTGGTGGTTGTTGTGGTTGTTGTGGTTGTTGCGGTTGTTGCGGTTGTTGCGGTTGTTGTTGTTGTTGTTGTTGTTGTTGTTGTTGTTGTTGTTGTTGTTGTTGTTGTTGTTGTTAGCATTATCATTTTAAGCATTTTTCCGCAACAATTCACATTCATTTTTTAATTCCTCATGCTAAAGACACGTAAGTGACAAACAACGGAATATGTTAGCTAGCAAAGATGCCAATCTTTTTGGTCTTAGGATGTGAACCACCAGTCGTTGGGGCACCGGCTTCGAGAGTTCGGTCGGTGGATCAAATTGCACCATTTCCAGTTGGGGCTCATTGCTACTGTAACCAAATTTTCACCCATAGGCTGGCTACCATCCTGGGCGATTGCTGAATGCGGCTGAAGAAGCCGACGGCTTCTCAATGAGCGAGTTCGAGTTTCCCTAGGGCAGCTGACTAAGGTCTCCAGACGTTTGTCCTGTAACCCGATTGGTTGATATAGGCCAAAGTTTTCATCCAGTGCTCTTCGGTTTTGAGGAGTGCATTTGCAGTTGAACAGCATCCTTGAAGAGGATCAGCTGAGTCATAGAGCCATATCACAGTGATGTGCTGGGTGAAAAGAGCAAGACCCCACTTCCCACCCAATTGCCTTGTCAGCCGGCATGCATTTCTGGAAACTATCTTTTCTCTGAGTTTCTTCTTCATTAGCCACCATCTTAGGTGGATGCACTTTTCTGAAACGAGGTGTTAGCAATGGGAAAACGTAAGCACTGCATACCCTGGACGATGCGGCAGAGTGATGAAGTTGTAGATTTACTATAATTTAGATTAATTTAGTTTTTTTTTTCCTTAAATCATAGTAAATCATAGTAAATGTAGCACCTTGTGTTCTTCGTCCAGTTTTTTTTGCTTGAAATGATGGGTGTTGGAGCGCTTGGCCACTATTGACGGTAATCATTAGATGATTTCTATGGACGGGTACTATTGATGGTTACTTTAGTACCAATCAACTGATCTCTTGTTTTTTGTGCGTGTTTTTCCTCCGAGATCGGCCATGTTCCTGCAGGTGGAGCGCGACAAGAAGCTGCTACAGAAGAAGTTGGCCGATGCAGATGCTGCGAAGAAAGGTGCGCAACCCAAAGGTGTGGATATGGGTTTGTTAATACGGGTAGTCTGATGGGTTAGAAATGGTGATAAGCTATGCTCCAGTCTTGCAGCTCCCAACCGTGGACGTGACTTGTAGATGTTTCAGGTGAATCTACTTCCTTGGCAGCAGTGCAAGAGGAGCTCGCAAAGTGTCGCAAAGAAAATGACACTTGGCTTCGCAACAGCCAGTAGTTTTGATAGGTGACGTATTAGTAAAAGTTTTCTGAACTCCCAATGACTGGGGGACTTTCTGACGCTGTTCTCCATGGTCTTGCCCAAATCTTGGTGAGGTCTCTCGGTCGCTCACGGGTCCATACAGCGAATGCAGTATCGCAACCCAAACCAAGGAAACCTTGAGCGCTGCCAATGCAAAGGATCGGCAGGCCACCTGAAAATGCGGCATTGGCATTGGTTGCCCTGTGGCTGTTCTAAAAATGCGAGGTAGTGCTTACAAGCTAGCATTGTACCTCAGGCAAAGTTAGGCCTATGTGAGATTGGTTTCCACCCAAATCCACAATCAGGAGGGCAAGGGCCAAATAGGAAACTATCACGAACGGCCCTCAACAGCTCTTGGTCTAAATTGCCTTTTCCCACGCGCATGCAGCTGTTGAGGGTGCCTGCTGGGTTGACACCGCACCCGATTGAGGAGCTGAAGAAATTGACGGATGAGTTGGAGAAGCAGCGTCAGGCGAGATACGATGAGTGGCCGTTTCTGAGGACCGTTGGGTGAGGCTCACAGCCATTGGAACACCATCGGAATCAGATTCACGATGCCGGAGTTCAGCATGTGAGCGCTGCTAGGCGTTCCACAAGCAACGCCAGCAACTTCATGACTCTGGTGGTAGGGAAGAGGACTCCGGAATACTCTGGATATATCCTGACTTGGCGACCTAGCGCCAGTTCTTATTTACTCTGTATAAATGGTGGATTTATGTGCAATTTGTGTTTTTACCCGGCCTGGTCCTTGCAAGTATCATGTAAGGTATGAAGACACGAACACCATCTCACGGAAATGTATCACAGAGCGAATGAACCAAAAGATCTGCAGATAATAAAGGCACCATACCTGGATCATTTCAGAAGTCAGCATACCTGGCATACCTGGCTCCGCTGTCAGGAGCTGCGTCGCGAGTTGCAGATGCAAACCGACGAAGTCGCCAAGTGCCAGCAACATGTGGCGGAGATCATGGCCGAAAGGCTTGGGGTTGAAAGATCAGCTACAAGACATGGATCTATTATCACATATTATCACTATTGTTATTGTGCGTTGTTGTTATTGTGATACTAATGTTCTTATCTTATTACTCTTATCATTCCTCTTGTTAATATTATATATATGTAGAGTTTTTCACTATTCTTAGTAGATATTAGCCGTACTATTACATCCATCAAAATCTGTGGCAGAACTTTTCCAGGGCTCTGCCAGGTTAGTGGAGCTAAAAGCCGAGGGCGAGCAGCGGAGCCGCACTGAGGAGCTACGAAAGAACCTGGAGGCCGGTGGTGGATCCTGAGCCTGCAACGTTGGTATCTGTTAATTGGATTGGTTTAAGGGAAAACCTACAGGAAACCATGGTTTTTCCCAAGGAAATATGATAAATATGGGGCTTCCCTGCACAATTTCCCTCAAACCAATCCAATGAATCTGCTAATTGGCTGGAAAATCACCGCTAAATGGAGGTGTTTTTTGCTAAGCTCATGGCACTAAATGGTAAAAATTCTGTCACGTTTGATTACAGGACGGTAGTTGGGCATAATTGTCATAACATATAGAATGAGGATGCATTAGATGGTGATTATATAATCTGATTAGTTGGAACCTCATTGTATAAGAATTATGATGAGGATAATAGATAGCTTGGGCTAAAAAAGGTGATTGTTTGTGACTGTTGATGCTGTTTGATCATCCCTTTTTCTATTCAGTCAGCCAGGGTTGGGTGGCCCCCATGTAGTGACCCATAGCAATCAGGATCATCCTTGCGACAGGCCCGATGTGCTCAACTGGAGGATGAACTGGCAGCTACCAAACAGAGTTTGGCGTTTTGGTTGCACGAGCCATTTTCGATACCTGTTCTGCCAAAGAAACGGTGGATTCCCTTCGTGGCATCGGGGGAAAGAAATCTACCACTTGAGTAAACAAGATAATAGATCAAAACATAGCCAATAACAAATTATCTGAATATGTATGTATATGGGTCCCGTTCAAAGGTGGTGAAGGATTTTGATTTCGGGCATACTTTTTGGATCTTCGGTATGTAGCTAGCTCAGCGCATGGTCTTAATTCCGAATCCGTTTGCAATACTCCAAGACCTGCGCCACGCCCACAAGACTAGAAGAAAAGACGCGGGCTTGTCACCCTGCCATGTATTTAAACACATCTGTTGAATTCAGTCATATCTCCTTAAAGAAAAGCAAGTACACCAACATGCCTGCCCACACCAGAACACGGAAATAGAGGCGGGCTTTCTGGAACCACGATGTTAACATATATTTTTAGCCACCTAGAAATATGTTCGTACCCATCCCTACAACCATGTTGATATTTTTTTGTACCTAGAAATATGTTTGTACCATTTGTAGGAAGATATATTTCCATGGATTATGTTCATTATATACACTATAACATATTATATTATTTATATTATATATACACTATAATATATTCGGCGAAAGTCTATATATAATTATGGGTTAACATATATTGCCATGGAATAAAAATGGCAACCCATCTTCATATATGATTATTCATTATATACACTATATGTTAATGAAGATGGGTTGTGATGAGCAATGGCCATGGCGAAAGCATCGAACTCCCAGGAGCGACGTGAGCAAAATGCGGAGGACGCAGTCCACCGGGCCGTTGTGCGGACACGGGCCGAGCTCGAAGAGAACCTTGGCGATACCCATGGGGAGTCAAACATGGCTGGGAAATCGCTTGTAAATAGATAGATAATATATAATATAATATATATAATATATATATATATATTTAATATTACATATGTAATAACACACATATATATATATACACACTATATATTTAATGTAAATATAACATATACCATATAATATGTAATATTTAAAATACATATGTATAATATTTAATGTTTCAAATTTAATATATAATATTTAATACATAATATATAACATATAAAATGCAATATAGAATATATATTTCTAAATATATAATATATAATACATAACATATATATATATTATAATATTTAATTTATAATATATATATAATACATGATATATATATATATTATATATATATGTAATATAAATAAAGAATATATATATATATACATAGATATTATATCTGTATAGTGGTGGTGTTAAACGAAATACAATGGAATATAGCTGGGAGAATCGTTTTTTTTTTTGCGGCAGACCTGACTGCGGGGAGGGTATTCAGCAAAAAGGGAGACGGAAACCACAAAAATGGGGACATTTATTGAGAACCTTGAAATATTTGGATATGTAAATCATCGTCATCAGACATCGCTAGGCATCGGGGATATTCGGCAAAAAAAGGGATATATGGAACTATTGAACACGGGAAGAGTCAACGAATCAAAAACGGGGTTTGTGAAACAACAACTCACGGGATTCAGACCATTGAGAAAAGGGAGGTTGCACACAAACCATCAACAACCCGACAAAAAACCCTGGTGACATACGCATGATGATCAAGATTCTTTTTCTCAATGTTTTGAGTCCCAGACTTAGGAACTTTAGGAACCCCTTAGTTATATTAAATGGAAACAAAGACGCCTGGCCTGTTATATGCTATTTCCTTCATCCAAACCCAATGCGACCGAGGCAGTTCCAGGGTAAACTTCGTGGCTTCGAAAGCCTCTTGGACGCCACCGAGGGGCGACTCAAGAAGGCTGAGGAGGAGAAGGAGGACCAGACATGAGGAAGGTAAAGGATCGTCATTTAGCTTGCTTTGGTATGTTTCAAACTTAATGTTAGTAAACCAATAATAAACAACCCATATGTTGATGGTTTACACAATCCATCTATGGAGGATGGTTTACTATTGATTTACTAGCATTAATATGTATCCCCACCATGCCCTATTATATTTTGTTTTTGTTTTTCTTCATGAATTGTTTGTTGATTTTACACATGTCCCAGTGTATCCAGTAAGTGAGCTGGCACTTGCCAAGCAGCAATATGATAAAGGTCCAAAATTTCTTACCTCCAAAATTTCACCCAAAGGGTGTGCATATTGTGATACGAAATCCATCGGTTCGGAGGTTCCAGCGGCCATTGGTGCAGGACTTGACGCAGATTGTCGGCAAGATCTCTGAGGAACTATGCCAGATGCAACGGGACTTGGATGAGAAGAGGTACCTCAGCTTGACATGCCCCGATACGTCATAGACTGGCCCACATGGGGTCCCCAAATTGGAACCAGGGTTTCCTCCCAGGTGTTTATGGAGAGGGAGACGGGATCAATTG